GTGCACGGCTGGTGGAGGGGTGGTGGTCAAGGCCGGAAGAGGACAAAGCCGAGTGGTGCACGGCTGATTGGTAGATGTCCGGAGAGATGCAAGGCGTTCGATTCAGGGCTTATTGGTGCACAAAATTGGTGGTGCACGGCTGCGCTCCCGAGGTGTAATAAAAAATCATTGAATATGCTTTGTTCGTCTTTTCTTTGCTTTAACGACTGTAGTTGTGACTCCGAAGTTGCAATGTTGCCTTCAGGAATAAATGACTTTCCGTGAAGCTACATAATGAATCTTTATAATAAATGACAATTTGCAATTCATTGAAGTCGCTCAAGATTCACTCCCCTCATTGGATTTATTGTGAATTTTAAGTTTAGGAAGAATCTATTCATTATATTCATGGATATTCTTGAGCTTATTAAAACATAATGGATTTCGATTATTTAGCGCTTGCGTCTCACTGCTACTACGAACAAAAAATGTACATCTCTCTGCTGATTACCGGGGTAAGCCACGTGCCACTTACATTCGAAGACTTTGAAAGAAGGGCTGTCAACCTTTCTCTCCGACTTTTTTCATTCAGTCAAACTTTTCGGAAATATTGTTTTTGATGAATATCCAGTTGTTTCAAGTATCCCAGAAAAACGTTTCAACACAGTAACACATTCATGTGGATCAATCTCGACGCTCTGACGAACATATCCAGTAAAGAAACAGTATGGAAAGACATGAATATCCTTTCACGGCAGAAAAAAGTGACGCAATGCGCTTCACATCATGCCAATATCACCCAGCTGAAACAAGGCACGTTGACCGGCTGTCCGTTGGGTGCATGGAAACATAAATCTTGGCAAAGCCAAGGTACAATCATCAGTGCTGCTCTCAGACTCGACAGAACAGCCCCAAGATTGAGGACTTGATAATGAAGCACATTCAATTGGTCTATGCAAAATCATTAGCCGTGAATTCATCCGAATTTACAGGCCGAAGTCGTTAGTCAGTAGGTCTTCCACAATGCCCAGGTATCGATACCGTAGCCCTGCAGCGACAACTGCAGCAGGCACTGCACTATAATTGGCGGCGTGACAGCTGTCAAAATGAACCTGAAATAAGGTTTAATTTTACTGTTAATGATGTTTAAGTTAATTATTGATAAATGTTAAATAATGTTAATACAGTTAATTTAATGGATGGTTGGTTTAGTCAAATTTTCAAATGAAGTTAACCTGAACAATCATCATTATCTTAATTTAACCTGATATTAAGCTTTTTCAAAATCACAAAAGAATTATACTAAATCAAATTACGTTTAAAAATTTCTCTGATAACCAACTCATAGCTTTCATTTGACCATTTTTGATAACATATTGTTAAGGAAATTTCGTGCTTCCTTCGACGAGAGTGAAAGATGATTCGATACAGGACTTTATTGGTTCAAAAGTGGTTTCTGTAACAAGTGGAAATATGACAATACATTAACTTCAATCGTGATATAATAACTGGTATATGAATCAACTGCGGTTTCAATTACCTAGTGAACAAGTAAAGATCGGTAAAAAATTGACATTGGTACAAAATAGACTATATATTCAAACAAGAATCTTACCGAATCATCGGAAAAACTAGGTTGCCTTGAGACGTAGGAAATTCGAGGTCGTGGTACTATACTGCAACGTTATACAAATAAAACTGAACGTGACGAGAACAATATCACCTTGCATCGGACATTAAGGGTCGAACCGATGTGTTATCGAGAGACCTAAAACAAATCTTATTCCATAACAAAATTTAGATGAGACCATAAAGTCGGCCAGGAGGTTCTGACTAGTCGCTGATTGCGATCAGTTGGCCAACTGACCCAGATTAACTTTGCGCCGAGTGTAGTGACTATTCGGCCGAAGCCTAGGCTGTCCCCGAATTTTGTTAGGGTAGGGTATAAGTCCGCTTCGGTTCAGGGATTGAAGGGCAGCCTCTGGGCAGCTTGCAAGCTCGGTATGACTCGGCTCGGCCAACCCTTGTCATACTCTCAGGCGACTATGAAGTCGGAAAAGAGATTTCGAACAGCAGCTGATTTCGATCAGTTGGCCAAGCAGACTCAGAATAACTTTGCACAGAGTGCAGCAACTATTCGGCCGAAGCCTTGGCGGTCCCCGAATTTTGAAAGGGTTTAGGCCATGCTTGAAATGCATGTGCATTTAGAATGCCAAACTATGCATTTAGGGCAGCATTTAAATTGCAGTTTTATTTTAAATAATATACCCACGAGACTTCATTCTTATATATAAAAAAGTGAGTAATATACCCAAGCATGAAGCTCCAAAGCCAAGGAAAGCCGAGTAGAAAATGAGAGACGACGGCAACGACGACGGTCTCGACGATGCACGGCACACTGGAGAGCCTGAAGATCACGAACGGCATAGTCTTGAGGACTTTTGGGTCCAAAATCAGTCCTCCTCGGAGAATAATTACCACAACCGCTATGCCCCTGAGGAATGCAGGGCTTTGAATTTTCGGTGAACCTCTCTTACATGGGTTATTTTATGGATATGGCCAGAATGACTGGACGAATAACCATATAAATATATCTTGCAAGAAATAAATGATGATGATATAATAAAAATAGTTTAAAAGTTCTCTGTTAACTGCAGAGAACATTTATAAATACTGACGTGCTTTAAAGACTATACTTGATAGCAAAACTGCCTATGGCAAACAAAGAATGGCTACAGCCGTTTGGTTAGTGGCGGATATAGAACGTCATAAATGAATTCACTAGATAATTAGAGTAACTTGTATCATGGATTTAGGGAAATTCTTAGAATAATACTGGTGAACCATCACCGAAATGCAATAAATGACATTGTGTAATAATAGAACTTAGTTTTCATTTTGAACGAAAAAGACCCATAAATGGTGAAACTGGCTTTCTCGCGACCCAGTCTGCGAGTAGAAATGTACCTTAGGAGTGAATTTATTACAGAATTGGATATATTTTTCGTACAATCANATGCCACCATGAGAAGCTTCAAAAATAAGAAAATGAACAAAAATAATAACTCTAAAATATAAAATAGTATATTAGTGAGGCTGAGATAATAAATAAAAATATTACCTGTGAGAGTTTGCCACCGATCACTGAGGCGACGTAAACGACGAGGAGAGAGAACAAGTTTCCACCCGCAGCAGCGACGTCGCCAGCCATGAAGTACAGCGCCCCCCAGGCCAACAGTAGCAAGGATACGAACGTCAACACCTTGCCCACCTGACACGTTCATATCAATCGGTACGGTAGTGAGGCAGGCCTACACAGTAGTTAGTTATGAAAGAGGTTAGGTAAGGTTAGGTTAGGCAATGTTTGGTTCGGTTAGGCTGGATCAGGTTAGGTTAAGTTGGGTTAGGTTTTGGTTGGGCTTGGGTCAGGTAAGATCAGATCAGGTCAGGTCGAGTCGGCTTGTGTTGGGGTTTTTGGGTTTATGGGTTTTAGGGTTTTAGTGGTTGTTTAGGTTATGTTGGGTTGGGTTAGGTTGAGATAAATTTAGTTGGGTTAAACCGTTAGATTCTAGATCTTATATTGCGGGGCTTTTTCCAGTTCCATAATTGCTGCGTGCTCTCTAGAGCTAGTATTTCTGTGCTGTTTTTAGGTCTAGCATTGCTCTAGTGTGCCTAGATCACTTCCCCGTGAGGCAATATTGTCCCAAATAATAAGCATTTAAAATGCATGCATTAAGTTTGTGACTTCAGTTGTTAAGATTAATAGTTTTATTTGTGACAGATTTATCTTTCATCGACCTTATAGCTCTCGTCGCAATCGAGTTCACTGCATTGGAAAATATTTCTAACGGCCGTTATTTCTGTACTTATAAATACATTCCGATACACAAAAAAAATTATTTGAATGTATTTCATTTCAGTTGAAGAGTTTTGGTTTTGAGAACGATTATATACATTGCTCCTGAAATAGTGCTCCAGCCATTTACTTAGTAGCCCAGCCATTTACCTTGCCGTAGGGAGAGCACGCGAAGACGCACTCGAGGTTATCGCTTGTATTAGGGGTTGAGGGCGGCGGGTCGTCCAGCGTGGCGGGTGAGCACCAGTCGCAATTCAGTAGTCGAGATCCCAGATACGACAGGCCTCGAACCGCTGTGTTCATGCTACCCAGACCTGCACTAGTTAAGAGCGCCAGTTACTCTAACCCTTCTGTCACGGATTCATTTACCGTCATCAATGCTATTCGTACCTAGTGGTTTGGGACAGATAAGTCCAGTCAGTCACGAAATGGTCAAGCTTGAGTTTGTTCAGGGTATTCCTAGGGGTCTTCGTTTAGAAAACTTTAAGAAAATTTATGCCTTACCTATTCTTTAGAAATTATAACTAACAATTATTAGTTCCTGAGAGTTTTATCAATGAAATTGCTAGCATCGTACACAAAAATTTAATTATTGACAATTCTCACTAAAGAGATTTTGTTTGAACTCACTAACATGACAAAGAGCTTAACTATAACACCCAGCAAAATTAATCATAGTAACTTCGAGTCTTTTGTGGTGACTCCAGTTGATGTCAAGTCTAATGTGATGACTGTAGTCGAAGACAAGTCTTATGTGAGGACTGTAGTCCATGTCAAGTCTCATGTGGTGGTCGTAATCGAAGTCGTCATATGTGAGGACTGTCGTACAAGTCAAGTCTCATGTGGTGATCGTAATCGAAGTTATGTCTTTGTAGTCGAAATCCATATGTGGTGGTTACATGAGGTCACTACAACCATTAATCAGAATGTCTTTGTAATTGCGGAACGAAAGTGTCTGTAAAATAGATACAGCTAATGTGAACAATTGCAGTAAGCAACCTTTGTGAACAAGAATAATAAAACCGCTTAGCATATATAAGAATACTAGACTCATTAGCACTACCATCACGGGGACGTGGACATTACGAGATTTTCCTCGATCTGGCAAAGATTTTTAGTCTCATCACCATACAAATTTTCAAACTGCGCGAGCTACGCCGGGTTCAAATTGTTATTCACTGACATTTTTATTTACATCATTTATACAATTTTTCAATTGGAAAATATTGTTACAGAATCAAGTAATAGGAAGAAACTATAGTGATAAATAATTTTGCGACAAAAATAATATTGTCTTACGAATATGAAACCATCCCATGACGCCGGCATCGGCCCTGGCGGCCGCTATGGCTTGTCGGAGAGCGCCGACGATCCCGAACGCCAAGCACAGCGGCGGCTCTCCAGTCGCTACCATGGAGGATGAGTGGATAACTTATAATCTATATTGTTTTTGTTTTACAAATATTGGTATATATCAACTTTCTCAGAATAAATCTGTTTTGATTGTTTCTAAAAATTAAATCGGTATACTGCTAGAAACAATAAAGAAAACCAATGGAATAAATATTTTTAGTAGATTTTTCAGTAAAGAAGAATAACCTTTCGAGCTGAGCACGCCGAAGGGGTTAGGCGCATTCGACAGGAGCGTCACGCGAAGATCTGCTGGAATGTCCAGGGCCGTGGGAGGCTTGTACTCCTGATTGGGTTTTAATTTAGAAATTTTTAGCGCATTTTCTCATTTATGGAAAAAATGCACTATTGTGCTCGCCATGTCCGTCCGTCTGTCTGTCCGTCCGTGACTTCACGTTTTTGTCGACAAGAAAATGCGCTCTCTTGCAGTCACTCACTGCAGTGAGTACTGAGTTATATTTTTCCCTTTTGCACTTCTTACTTATTATTATCGCCTATTTTAATAATAAACCAGTTATTTTTAATGCCTCTACCTCAAATTAAAACTTTTTAAATCTCTCTATATTAGACTTCTTTTCAGAGTAAGAAATAATGCAACCTTGTATTCCTCGACTTACCCACGTGCCAGTGACAAGTTTCTCGCCAGTCTTGGCATCAAACTGCAGGTACTCTGAGGTGTGCAGTCCAAGGCCCATCACGAAGGCGCCTTCCACCTGCCCCACGTCCACGTAGGGGGACAAGCTTCGTCCAGCGTCCTCTATCACGTCAGCTCGACGTGTCTTATAAGAAAATATACGTCCAAGATGTCCAGTATTATATATACGTCCAGTATTATACGTCCAAATATACGTCCAGTATTATACCATGCTAAAAATATGAAACATTTGCAACCAAATATTCATCAAATCATACAGCGCTTCAGGAACATGAGGTTTACGATGTGAAGATGAATCAGCCAAGGTATTTCGATTGTTAATTAACATTCATGGAAGTGTCTCTACTGCTATTAGTGAGAGATCAGCTGACGTTGAGACGAGAGTTATATGTCGGACTGGACACTTTAATTGAGAGGAACCAATTTGTGGCTGAGTAGTTTATAGCAATGTAATGCCCACTGTCAAAAGGGTACTTCAGCCAGACGGTCGAAGAAGAAACCCGTGTATCCATTCTCTTGCCTCATGCTGTATCAATATGCTCAAGATAAATGACGGAAATAAATTAAGTATTACTTTCATTTATCACGAAGCAAACATTTTGGTGCCCCCTTATTATATGCAACTAATACAATGCACCAAAGGACAATGACTCTACGACTAAAGTGATGGGTGAGGAAAAACGATAGCGCTCTCAACACGGCGTGATTATAACATATCACAGTATAATTGTCATTACAGAGGAACGAGTACAGTATGGGTACACAGCCATTACTTTCGGCCATCAGGCTGCCGTATTTCTACAGTGAGTACCACATTACTACGATCCTGCCGGCTGCCAACGAATTCTGTCTTATTAAAGTACCTAATCATTTTATAAACATGCATAGTGCATCCGGAGAGCTCATGTTCTGATGACACATAAACCGTCCATTCAGCGTTTGGGACTCCAGGGTGACTGCGCTGTGGAGATGCAAACTTCAGTGTCAATAATGCCGGATAAATGAAACATGTGGTCTTTGCTGATCACTCGCAGACACATTTCTTGGCACGCACAGTCGCTAACGAAACCTACATTTAAGGTGTGGTAGTATAGGGTGATGAAAACGCATGTTCCATGACAGTTGGTGCTCAAAAATAAATTCTTTAGCAAATTTACAATCCTTTTAAAGTTTCTAATTGTTGAACTCTAAGAAACAAATTTAATAAATGAAATAATTTGGATTAGTATATTTTAGAATAATGAATATAGCTCTGAATGATCCAAATAATGATTTGCGTAATGCAGAACAGTTCACGAGAAAATTTTCTTTGGAGACAATCTATTCTGTAGCTGCATTAGCACGACTCAGTTACTTAGTTTCAAAATTATACTGAAGAGAAACTATTTCAGCAAACGGTTGAAAATTTCGGATATTATTGAGAGGTCTGACCTTTTCTACAATTCGATCCGACTTCATAGAATTTGTACCTTCTCTCTATTACGTCAAGTTGGCGTGGCATACGCGCAGGCATCGAAATTGTGCTAACATAGGGCAAAAATTTGAGAACTGCCTTGACAATAAGTAACCTTGAAATAATTAAACTCAGACCTCAAATTTATTTTATAACTTACGATATACATGCCGGTGAGTACGTCTATCTCCACTTCTATGCAAGTGCCTCCCCAAACGATATAGCTCTTGGGCAGCTGCTTAGAGAAAGTCCTGTCAAATTTAAACAAAACTTAATGAAATAATTACATGAAGGGGACATTAGAAGGAAGACTGACACCTAAAAGAACTTAGAAAATTATTATACGTATGTTACTCACTGGAATTTAATTATGTTTGCTATACTGACCAGTAGCGCTGACTGGGGTTCTGTTGTGTTTACCCCCACCAGTAGCGTTGACTTTGGTTTTGTCATGTTAGCAACAGACCTGCATGGTTGACTAAGGTTTTGTCATAGAATAGTATAGAATAGAAGTGTCGGCATTGAAGAAAATAGGCCCATGGCCTGTTGACGATTCTTGAATTTTTCGTGACTTGATTCACAAGGGATCCGGCCTTTGGAACCCGATCATGTTTGCAACTAACCAGTAACGCTAACTGGGCTTTAATTATAGCATGTTGGCAACAGACCAGTTACGCAGACTAGGGTTAAGATGAGAGTTTCAGAGACTAACCAATAGCGCTCGCATAGGTCAATATCCTTCAGGAAGCAGAGCCTGACGAGCAGCGGCCACGGAAGGAGTTGCTGGTCCAGCGTGCTGCTGAAGGCACGTATGCGTTTCCTCAGCCGCTCGCAGCAAATCTTAATGGCCTTATATAGGTGAGATAAAGTTAACCTGATTAAAAACCCTGTATTGTTAACTCCTTTAATATGATAATTCAAAATCACATGTGGCCAACAAATAGATTTTGGATATCCTCTGAGGAATGATATATCAATCAATAAAAAAAGTAACCAAAGAAAAGAAATAAATGAGAGTTAAATCGTTATCTCCATGCACTACAATAACAATTGAATCACCCTGTGTGGGATTTATGAACTACAATGAGATTTCGATGGCCTTCATTTAAATTATATATCAGGCAGCGCAACTGTTGAGATAAATTCAACTTTTAAACTATGCCTAGAGAACATATATCGGATTGAAATAAGATTGTTACATTTCGAAATGACGTGTATATGTTGTCAGTAAAACTTGAGACTCAAGGACTGATCATAACACGATATCATTACACGATCGCATAGCTTGTGCGTTTTGAACAAATTAACATTTTGTATGCAACTTTCTGCCATGATTTGGAGCCTTATTTAGAATTAATTGATCTTGAAATCAGATGTGTCAAAGTGTCTCACATCAAAATATATTGACTGGTAGTCAAATTTTCTCAATCAATTGGTTTCATGTCAATGCAAATTATGGCTTATGGAATTTTCAGAAAATATTTTTCGGAACCATAAAAGACTGATTAAACAGGAGGCAATTATTTGAGGGTACTATTCGCATGTAACTGTCAAATTATTTATTTCAGAAAACCTTTGATCGAAGTGATGCGCACGCGCCATAATCAGGTCATGCCAGTATGGGCCATTTTATTAGTAACATTCAATATATGATATTGATGCAGAAATTAATAATTATTATTAATCAATGCAGTCATATATACTTATTTTGCAGAACTAATGATTGTAATTAGTAATAATGAATCTTTACAATAATTATTATACGAACGCGTGCACTCGTAGGCTTGTGTGAGAAGCCTATAAGTTTCTTTTCACGAAGTAGGAACACGTGTTCAACATTACGTATCTAAAGAGCTGTAATAACATTTTTATGAACAGTTTTCCTTATTCATAATTTATTATCGTAACAAGCATCCATGATTGTAGTTACGAATAATAAACAGCTTAAAACGTTATATTATTATTATTATTATTACTATTATTTTTATTGAACAGAAAATTCATCAGGCATCAGTTCATCCTGTCATCGCTTGTTTGATCCAAGCACGGAGTCTGCGTGAAAGTGGCCAACAAATAGATTTTGGATATCCTCTGAGGAATGATATATCAATCAATAAAAAAAGTAACCAAAGAAAAGAAATAAATGAGAGTTAAATCTTCATCTCCATGCACTACAATAACAATAGAATCACCCTGTGTGGGATTTATGAACTACAATGAGATTTCTATGGCCTTCATTTAAATGGCAGCGCAACTGTTGAGATAAATTCAACTCTTAAACTATGACTAGAGAACATATATCGGATATACATATCCGATCTATCCGATATATATTCATATACATATATATATATGAACATATATCGGATATGTTCATATCGGAAAAACATATATATCGGTGCACTCGTAGGCTTGTGTGAGAAGCAAAACAATTATTTTTCACGAAGTAGGAACACGTGTTCAACATTATCTATCTTAACAGCTGCAAGAACATTTTTATGAACAGTTTTCCTGATTCATAATTTAGTATCGTAACAAGCATCCAGGATTGTAGTTACGAATACTAAACAGCTTAAAACGTTTATTATTACTATTATTTTTATTGAACTGGAAATTCATCAGGCATCAGTTCATCCTGTCATCGGTTGTTTGATCCAAGCACGGAGTCTGCGTGAATTTTTTATAGATATGCCCTAGCAGCATCGAAAACAAATATTTTATTTTTCAAGTCATTTAGGGGTTCATATTGCATTATAAAATAAGCCTACGTCTTAATGACTCATGTTATAGGGATATATTTATTTATTGGACTGACATGGCACACAGTGTCAGTGCCGTATGAGCCGCCAGTGAGGGCGGTGTTGGCGTTAGAGGTCGTCGTCGTGGGTTTGATTTTAATCAAGTCAAGGGATATCCCAAGCGTTGCTGCAGCCACTTGGGCTACCTGAATAATAAGAAATAAATGTAAAAAAAATAAATTGGAAATGATTTTATTTATTCCTGAATAATAAGAAATAAACGTAAAATAAATAAATTTGAAATCCTTCTATTTCTGCTCCTCAAAATATTACAGTGAATTTTGGTTAACGATTGTAATACTATTTGTTTACAATTGATCTTTGAATGGTTATAAAAGTAACAAAAATGAATTTGTCGATTATAAGTGTCTCAGAAATCAGTTACTAATCTGACGAGTAATTATCTCTTAGCAAATGAAACAAAAGTTTACTTCTCATGGAGAAAATTACCCTAGTCATTGTCATTTTTATACATTAAATATATTTTTTACAATTCGCTGCATAGACATGGTGTAAACATAGACAGTGCTCATAGCTTTTCATTCGGTTGTCGTAAGATAACAATTATCAAGTGCAGTTGGACACAGAAATATTGGCTGGGTTCACCTTGGTGTTAATTCCTTGTCCCATCTCGATGCCACCGTGGGTAATGGCAACGGTACCGTCGTGCGCGTAGATAGACACGAGTGCCGTGTAGCGGAACAATGGCGAATATGTATAATCGTACTTCATGGGGATCACCGAAAGCCCGCGTTTACGCCAACGATTCTCCTGGAAGATAGTTTATATGACACAAATTATTATTCGGTATGAAGAGAAATGATACATAGGTGATATAAGCAGGTTTTACATATTGAAATTGGAGTGGAAGAATTCTTCACACCATGCACCGATCATTGCTGATGTTACTAATGTTAGTTGGTAGAAGTCCCCAGAATGTCATAAGGGGACGAACTGTCTTGTCTGTTTTCCATCAAATGTCCACGACTTGGGCCGAATTTGTCTTATGAAAGAATGTGATGAATTGCACCTGTGTATTTGTTACCCTGGGCGCAAATGATTGTAACGTAGAAGGATTAATGTTACCGATAAACTAACATGAAATTTTACTGATGCTCCAAATGTTTAAAATTGATTTTGCCTAATTAATTCCATGACTTTTAGGGTTACGCGGCGCATAGCGATCGAGATGAGCTGGATTACGTCTGTGCATCAGAGTAGCATCTCTCGCTGTAGCAGAGTACTTTTTTAGTACTTCTTAAGCCGGCTACTATGGGGTACTCTCTTTTTATTTGTAGCCGGGTACTCTCTTTTTTATTTAAAAAATGCCCTACTATGCATGGAAATAGACCACCTCATAGCTCCATAGTATGGGGAAAGACAGACCTTATTGAACTGCTCGACCTCTTGTTTCCTTTGAGCGATCATGGCCTTTTCTTTGAGCAACGGCAGAATGGAGTCTTTAAAGACGTTGGCTTGGTTGTTGGGTTGTACAGTGGGGGTGAGGTTCACCTCCCGCACCTCTAGAGGGTCTTTGTTCAGGTGGACCGCGACATGATCAACTATTGTCTCAATCACCGCGTGGCCCGCCACATGACCTGATCAACCAATATCATTATAAAACATTATCATGAATAATAGGAACCAAACAGACAATTGTTAAATTTAAAACTCCGAATCGTTCCATTACACTGATTACAGTGAAGTAATTCCTCCTGTGATAATTTAAAAATGTTGAATTGTAAGAGATCATTGAAAACATTCCACTGCGTGATAGTTGATCTATTTTTCATGTTCAATAGAAGAAAAAAATAACACTGGGAGATAGCTTGCAGCTTCTTTTCGTCGACTCTTATTAATTATCTAATATCTTTAAAATCCCCAAAACTTTTGTCCATGTAAAAATAGTAAAGAAATTAATTGAAAATGTCAATCAAGTGCGAAAGTTATTCAACCACCTTTTCAGCAGCTAATGCCAACTTAAGACACTCAGCTTGTCCGAGGTTTGATCGACCTTTTCAAGCGGACAACTTTTTTTTGTGAATGCCTAAAGGTATCCAGCGTTCACAATCACTTGACATTTATCAGTAACTATGAACTTGCAACTGCACATATATATATAACATAATTTCGCGAAAATGGTGGCCACATGCATGAAATCTTCCGTCACACATTCAACACGAAAGCGGGTCACTCCAAATTTAGTAGAAAGAATAGTGTTCAACACCCGGTGAGGCAGACACTATATTCCTACAAGCTATCCAACGAATGGTTTTGTTCGGCTTACTATTTGTAACGGATGATCTGCTGTCTGTGGTGACAGAACTATTATGAATGTTAGTCATTGATTAACCATGAGTTGGCCGAGCATATTGACGTACCGGGAGTTCGACACCATGGGTTAGCCGAACATTTGGGCATAACGGGAGTTCGACACCTTGTGTTGACTGAACAAATGGACATGACTGGAGTTCGACACCATGTGTTGACAGAGCATTTGGTCATACCGGGAGTTCGATACCATCTGTTGGCAGAGCATATAAATGGACATACCGATATTTCTAAACCATGTCTTGGCCGAGCATATGGACACACCGGGAGTTCGACACCATGTGTTGGTCGAGCATATGAACAAACCGGGAGTTCGACACCATGTGTTGGTCGAATATATGGACATACCGGGAATTCGACACCATGTGTTGGTCGAGCATATGGTCATACCGGGAGTTCGACACCATGTGTTGTCAAACATATGGACATACAGGGAGTTCGACACCATGTGTTGGTCGAGCATATGGATATACCCAGAGTTCGACACCATGTGTCGACAGAACATTTGCTCATACCGGGAGTTCGACACCAGGTGTTGGCAGAGGTGTCGGTCAAGGCGTTCTTGGGTACGACGTTCCAGGTGGGGCTTTGGTAGGCGTTTGCAATGATTTCCGTTGCAGACTCTAGAGAAGATTCGTTGGCGGAGTGTCCGGAACCCGAATAAAGATTCACGTTTACCGCCTCAAACTTGCCTGTGTTGTCAAACCCAACCTTCAAAAATATAATGCATTCAAAAATCAGAGGTGTCAGTGATAGAGAAAATCGTTGTTTTAACACGAAAACTTCGTCAGTAAAGAGAAAATAGACTTCGTATCGACAAATCAATGCCGGGTTTCATAAATTACTCAGATGTATGTTCAATTCAAGTAGGATCATTTAAATAATTGCCACCAAAAACGGAAGCTTCTTCCTTATTTCAAAATTTTGTTTGTTAATGGATTTGAATAAACGCACGATCGCACCTAACAAACAATATGAACAATGAAATAAGGTGATAAGGGACAAAAAAGTTTCAAAACTTTAGTATTTCTGAAGAATGATTGAAATTATTTTAGTTGTATTAAACACTTGCCACGATCGTTATGATGGAAGCAATCAACATTTCCATCGTCACGAATTTGCACGTTGCGAGATGAAATACTCTTATAAATGCTTGAAAACATATCTTGACGTGCTTGCAACTCCTATTGCACTGCGTTGAATCATAGCGAAGAAGTACAGGTGACTTACGTCGTATGTGGCGTAATAGAACTCTCGCCATCCACAGGCCGCCATCGTCGTCGACAGGTCTTGGAAGAGACGCACAGGCCGACGTGTTTTATGGGCAGCCACGGCCGCCGCACATGCGCCCAGGTTGCAGCGGGTGATCTTACACCCAAAAGCGCCCCCCAGGCGCCGTACGCTGATGTTAACGCTGCAATAACAACATGAGCAAACTCTCTGTTTATCTATTTGTCAATACAAAAAACACGTTCAAGAGGTATTCAAATGGCTCGTATTCCAATCAATCACTACGAAAAAAAATCCTGCTTTTTCCAAAGCGTACAACCCGCACTCGGTATATCCGCGCCCATATGTAATAGGGAACTATGCAACCTTACGTAACCGTACAATAATCGCCAGTGAATGGCATCTTCGCCGTTGGTTCACCGGTGCTTAATTGTAGCCCACATCTCCAACCAACAACAATTGTAGGACGAGACGCCTCCTCAACTGGTCCGATCTTTCCCAAAACATTTATTAGTAATTTGATTTTGCACAAAGCTCCTGGTAGGCGTATGCTCCTAGGGGGAGCATACACACCCTAGTTCCATAACCTCAGTTGACTGAGATGCCCTTGCCTACAGAACCATGTCGCTCGACTGCACCTGTTGGCGTCGATTCCCAGGACGTCGGCTATAACCGTCTGTGTCTCAGTGGGTGCCTGCGTGGCGCAGACGACATCGTAGCCATCCTCTATAGGGATGACCCGAGCGAACATCAGCTCCATGGCGAAGTGGTACTGCGTGTTCACTTCAACTGCTCCTTTAATCTTGTTAGTTGCGCGGTGCAGCAAACCTTCGAAAAATATCGACAATTTTTAATTCTGTTGTGTTAGCGTTGCTGAAAGTCGAAGTTACAGTTTTTATGGGGATAATTTTCTCTCACTCTTTAAAATAAAGAAAGTAGAAGCTAGAACACACCACATGAACAGTATCGGAATGATAAAAGAGCTTCAACGTGAGCCAGATCTGAATGAATGGTTCCCGCGTCTACATTTGTTCACGGTCTATTAGGACCGCTTTTTAACCTTCCTCTAATGTCATTCGTACATGAATAATAAATCGTTCGGGCGGTAAAAGGTTTACGTCCTGTGCCCTCTTGACCCTGTATTTAGTGCAGTTAAATGCAGTATCTATACATTTAGTGATATTTTTTCTGGATCAGGCTTATTTCGCTCGTGTTTACTTCGCTCATCATTCACTCTGACAATTCTTAGGCTGATACAGATAAGGTAATTATGAACAGGTTAAATAAAATCAAGGGTGACTAGTAAATGGTAGGGATTTTTAATAAATGCAAATGTAAGTAAATGTTAGAGACGTTTTGCGGTCATTGTTTCACTTATTTCAATGCTTTATTTTCAATGTAATAAATGCCTGCCTTCGACATTGGGGTCACCCTCAGTTACAGCGTCGACGGTTTTCCCGTTTTTGTCGATACAGGCCTTCAGTCGTTTCTGCTTGATGGATTCTTGGATGGTGAGAATTGGCGTCTTGATATCAGAGTAGGTAACCTTGACAAGCTTGGCCGCCGCGTGCGCCGTGGTTCGGTCCTCAGCAACGATCAAACCCACCGGTTGGCCGTGGTAGATCACACGATCCGTGGCGAAAAGCTGTTTTGCAAACGAGCTTAACTAAATATTGCGAAATCTCTTACATTGCTACAGTTGTGCCAAATTCTTCATAATCTTATAGCAGCGTTGTAATATTTAATTATTCCTTGTGTATCTGTATGAATATTATTTTCAAAGTAACCGGTAGCTACTTACGGGATCAGTATTAGGAAATAAGGATAATGGACCGTAGAAGAAGGAATTCCTGCCAGGGATGTCTACTGCTGTCACGAAATCAACCACGCCTGGCATAGCCTGTAAAAATGATACCGTTTAACTGATGACTCAGCAGGCAACATTGGGAGCCTAAAGGTATCATCGGTGCTAAATTTGCCGCCAATAAACGAGATCAATGCTTTGCAGAAAGCCAATTCTTCGCTCTTGCAGTAAGCCATTACTGCAATAAATGATGCCATTACCACACAGATTTTCCTTTTATCAATGTCGTGTTTCATGTACAGTTTAACTAAAATTTCGAGCTTAATATTACAATTTTCTAAGGCAAATGAGTAGCCGTAATATTTTATATAAATGTGAAATAATATATATAGTTATCAAATCGTTCAGGTTAGGCAGCTCATTTGTAGTCAACCATGTTTTCAAAATATAACTTTTGAGCAGCAAAATACTTTTAAGAGCGAATTTATAAATTTGTATAAGGTAATGCGGACGGACGAGAGCGGCGGCAGCGTCGATGGCGTCGATGCGGGCGTTTGCGTACCGGGCGAGTACGAACTGCGCCTGCAACTCCCCGGGCATCGCAGCAACGTCATCGCCGTACTCCGCTTCACCTGCGAGTATTTAGCGGTGTTATTACAATGATTCTTCTATATAAGTTGTAGAAAAATAATTTTGACTTCAATCCAGAAACAATAACACACTCCTAGCTGACTGAATGGAGACGGAAATGGAATGGAACTGCGACTGAAGCTCCGCGGGCATGGCAGCAAAATTGTTGGCGATGTGTGTTTCTTAACGATATTACTACCATAATTCTTCATTGTGAGTAACATGTGTATTGTACCAATAAGATAAAATTATTTCAACGTAGTCAGGTGATAGGATCTATTTTACCTTGCTGCGTTCGTATCAAACTCAAACGATCTGAATCAATTATGCACGAATGTATAGTTAAACAAAATTTTCTGTGCAACTAATCATAACATTTCAGTTATCAACAGCTAACGTTTCGGATTTTAACCTACCACGCATACGATGCGTGGTAGGACTGTTTAGGACTTCGCAAAGATCAGGACATGAAGAAGGCAACAAAACTACTTTGATTAGCTAGGGATCATCCGTTAAGTCCACAGGTACGGGCGACAAGAAGAGAACACAATATCCTGGATCTATTCTTCACCAGCAATAAAGAATTGGTAGCTGATGTTCAGGTTGAGGAGACCACACTGTCAGACCATCGACTAGTGTTGGTCGAGACAACAATTGGTATTGGGAATCAGCTCAGACCTACACCACGAGAGGACCTGATTGGGTACACATGGAAAATAATAACCAGAATGGCACCAAACTTTGGAAGCGAGACCTTCAGGATTGAAACATATCATAACCACGTCTGCCATAAGGGAGAGATTGTGCAGGAATCCCTCACTACGTAACAGATCTGGATGCGATTTCAAACTCTGCGGGAAGGATCTCTTTCCTTAGCAGGGGCGAGGCTGTTTAACGTTCTACCAAAGGATCTAAGAGAGGGGGAGTTCACCCTGGAGTCCTTTAAGAGATGATCGAATGGACGTGTTTCTGGGCACAATCCCTGATCGTCCGCCCCTGCACCACTAACGGCGGCGAGAAGCAAAGAACAGCATCGCGCATCGGCTAGCCCATTGGGGGTAGATGCGCGATAGTCAGAGGTGTCGATCCATCGATGCCTGGGACTGCTACGTCCGAAACATATACTAAGGATACTAGGAAGTAAGCGTAAAATGCACGTATTAACCTGCCACTTGAATGAGAGACTCCAACTTGGGAATGGCCTTGCCGAGAGGCCAAATATCTGAGTTTTCGTCGAATTCTTGCTGGCCGGAGTTTACCCCGCGCTTGATTTTGTCGCCAGCTGATCGAATCCTGGGGCTCACATCGTCCATTAAGATGCTCACGATAGCCTGAGGTTAGAATCATTCTCAGTGCACAATTTTAATACATAACTTATAATAATTACACTTGTTTGTGGGGAAAATCATATGAAAATTAAAAACAACGAATTCTCTGGTCATTAATCGCACGTGCTTAAAAAAGAGTTCGAAACAGCATAGATTTAAAACTAGGAGACAAGTAAATGTGTAAAATTGAATGGGAATGCATGTTATTTGAAGCAAAAGCTGCGTTTACCTGTCTATCAATGAGCGCAATGATGCATCTATAATCATTGGAAAGCAACCGTATTGGACAAATGGTTAATTTTATTACGTATAAAACGAGGTTTAAAATTCAAATGGCAGTGACATGTGACCTTGTAGAAGAGCGTCTGGACAAGCGAGCGGCGGTAGGGTATGCTGCCTTGTTCAGGGTCCGCCTCAGGCTCCGCTTCACTGGCCAATACACCGGCGGCCTCCTGCACCACCGACGCGTCTGACAAGTCCTTGCCCACCAGGTACTGTTCTGTCTTGGCAGCTGTAATCTGGATTAGAATAAGCTAGTATAAATCATCATATGCCAATAATCTTGCCACTGATGTGAACGCGGGAACAAAAGTCAAGATACAAAGTAACGTCCGAAATGCTTTCTTTTATTCATCTTTGTTTTGCAGGCCATTACCTTACAAGAGTAAATAGAGCTTCAAGTCATGATATTAACAAATTTATATGAATAAAAATTGATCTTGAGGCTGAAACATTAGTAAATTACTCATCAAATTCCAATAAAATGTTTTTCCACTCACGAATTTTTTGCCGAGGCCTCCGAAGAGAATTCGAGGCGCCGCCGTCACCTTATAGCTCGTGTCCAGCGGCAGGCGTAACGCGGCGTTTACGTACGCGTGGGCGTTCACTGCACGCGACGTGATCTTGAATGTGCGGATCTGACGCGGGGAAAAGACTGTCGTGATGCGACGAGCACGTGGCATTTACGTAACAAGAACGGCGCACTTATGACGCGAGCACGTGGCATTTACGTAACAAGAACGGCGCACTTATGACGCGAGCGTGTGGCATTTATGTAACAAGAACGGCGCACTTATGACGCGAGCGTGTGGCATTTATGTAACAAGAACGGCGCACTTATGACGCGAGCACGTGGCATTTATGACACAAACATGAGGTGGTTATGATGCGAGCACGTGGAATTTATGACACAAACATGAGGCGGTTATAATATAATAATATAATATAGCGGTTTCCGCATTTATTATGCCTTAGGCCTGTCGCCGATTCTTGACATCGCGGAACATTCACAGCATTGTGCGGTCTCGAACTCGCAACTCACTGCTCCAATTCTGTTGTACTTAACCGCCCGGCCTCCTTTCCGATTCTGACCAGAGAGCTGGGATCGAACCCGCGCCTCTCTGCTCCAATCCTGATACTCAGGGGCCATACTTTCAAAATTCGCTAAGTGAACGTAAGTACTTGCGCTCTATTTTCTTGTCTATGATTGGTGGATTTTGCTTGAAAGCCCGTCAGTGATTAGCCGATGAACTTACGATCTCGTAACTTTTTTGAAAGTATAGGCCCTGGAACTTTAGCCACATGTGATGCGAGAAACGAAAGCATGGCCATTAAAACACCAGTATATTGCCGCAATTAATGGCGCATGTCGTGATAACCGGAACCGGTGGCTGTTAACGCTGATCACGGTGAGTTGTCTTACAATTTACAGCGCCTCGATAACATCATATAAGACTCCGACGTACTCGTAGAATCTCAGGGGCTCGTCTGCAGAATGCTCCTGAACTGCAATCAATAAATAATGAACTGCAATTAATGAATTTTACTAGTTATGTCCCTAATTTCATGAAACTTTCATACATTTTTTGAGCTGTGATCAACACTGCCGCTAGAGATTTACAGTATTCGCAAGTCACATTTGAATTCTGAGTTGTTCTGGCCTTTAATATGTAATAAATAAACTTATAATAATTTTGATAATCAGATAACAAGTGAGGGAAGAGGAAACAAGCAATTTGCTACAAATATGTGAAAAATTAAATTATCATTAATATTACAAGCTGCAACATTAATTAATAAACCTGAATGCCGGTAGGCTGCGGAGGGATGGACATGCCCACGATGACCTTCATGTTCATGTCGTACGAAGGTAGTTCAATCACCTTGACCTGCTCTGGCCTGCGGGTGACGGCATTACCTGCGCAATACGTGAGGGTAGGCTCAATGGTAGGCTATCTGCGCTATTAAGTAAGGGCAGGCTCAATGGTAGGTTACCTCGCTATAAGGTAAGGGCAGGCTCAAGGGTAGGTTACCTTGCTGCAAGGTAAGGGTAGGCTCAATGGTAGGTTACCTGCGAAATAAAGTATGAAGAGGTTTGGCAGAAAAAAGCTTTGCTGCGAAAAATTATTTTCTCATTCAATAAATACTTTGATTGCACAGAAAAAAAATAAACGCGACTGATCATGGCCTCTTAAATGAAATGCAGCGCAACTTTATTCATCGATTATAGAACGTCAAGTAGCAACATGACTCTATATATAGTTACCAACCGTCAAGTGATATCTCCAGGTCAACTCCAGTCAAACCATGCCATCAAGTCATTGCCAGTCAAACGCTGTCATCAAGTCAAAATCAGTCAATAGTTGCCGCTAAAAACGGCTAAATCATCATTCGTCACGCTTGGCCTTCCGGTAAACACCTAACAAACGATCGTCGAGTCAACAACCGTCAACAGAAGACAGCAAATCACAGCACGCCAATTGAATTCGGCAGGCAGCGCCAGGCAAACGGTGTCAAATCATGTTCATTTTTCAAGTTATTTCCTGTCAAACTTCGTATATGAACGCATATCACATACCAAGAAAACACGGCCTTCCGACTCAATCTTCAGCGCGAACAAATGATTAGTTTGCACGAACAAAATTTGAAGCCGTGTTTGAGCCGCGCCGATGCCGCACAAGGCAGGCTTGTAATTTTTTGAGGCCTTAATTCAATTATCCTACAACCTCATTTAAGAGACATATCATCCTTGACGCATTTCATCATTGGGAAATTACATCGTTTCATTCTTTACCAATTTATCCTAACCAAACCAAACCTAACCTAACCTACTGGGCCACACCTATGAGTAGCGTAGCATCGCAGCAAGCGAGCGTCAGGAAGATGTCGGAGGGGAACTCGTTGTGTCGGTTCTTGAGCATTAAGTTTCCCGCCCACGACCCGTTCTGACGACGACGAACATGGGGCAATAATTGAAATCTATTGAGATATATTTTCGTTGGTTTAGCAGCTCGACTAGGATAATTTGCTGAATTTGAGGGGTTATTTGCATATATCTATAATTACCTAGTTAAGCCGAATTTGATCGGGATATGTAACAACAACAAATGAAACCATGTTTTGCGATGCTCAGTGATTCCACTGCCAAAAATGAAATTTTAGATTTTGGGAACATCACGACACGATAACTACTATGGCAATACGCTTGAATAATTACTAATTTTTGTAATTTATTCATTGGGACAAATTTAGAATGAAATGTGTTGTTTATTATGACTAATGGAAAATTAATTAAATATTTATAAGCTATTTAAATTGAAGGGAATTAGATGTAAGTTGCCTGTCTCGCGTAGATAAGAAATAAGTTACCAAAACGTACATTTCTGACAGCGAGATTGGCCACGACCTGCCAGTGGTCGGCGATTTCGTTGAGGTGCGCGTAGCCAGGCACGGCGGAAGGCCCTGCAGCCACCTTCCTGAAGGCGTCGATGCATTGGGCGAGTGTGACTCGGGCGCCGAATTTGATTGGCCAGGAATTGATCGATGTCTGCTGCATCTCCGGCACCTTCTCCAGGCTAATGAACATCGTGTAGGGGCCATCGTTCTTATAAACGCCTGCTCCAGGTAAATTGTTTCTATTAAGTTAACGGGCGACAATGGCGAAAAAATGACGTTTAAAAATGACGTCAATAGAGAAGATGTGCTAATGACACATCTTCTCTTCATCTTCATCATCTACCCATCTTCATCATCTAAAATGACGTCAATAGAGAAGATGTGCTGGCAATTTATCTATAATTCAGGTGTGAAACGACTATAAACTGTCAATGGTAAAGAAAATACACAGTATGATAAATTAAAAAACATAAACGATAGGGGCAATGATGTATGACAATGTATACAATGGCAGAAAGCATGACAATGGCACAAAGATACATAATAGGAAATGTCCTCGAACAAAAGAATACAATCATTCAAAACAGGAGACGTAAAACTGGCACCAAGCCTTTTTATAAAAAATGGAAGAATTTAAAAGTATATTAAGGTTAAGATAATTATTGAAGTTAGTCTACCCGCGGTAGGCTCACCAGACCCCGTGTTGCCGGCCACAAGGAGGTACTTGTCTTGGGCTGTGGCAGTTTGAAGAGCGTTCATCACCCTCTAGAACAAGAATACTTTTTACGGCTAACATTCTTTCTTAAAACGACGAAAGAGTTTCAGTGTGAACTTGTAAGATTTAAGATCCAAAATATTTTAGAAAAGTACATGAAAAATTTTTTAATGGAAAGCTAGCTAAGTAAGAGGTAAATTTTTTTCGACAACTTACCGCACCCGTGACCGGATAAAACCAACGACCCTTGCTGGTGGTGACTGTGGGTCCAGTGTCTGCTGCGGCGTCAGTCACGAACAGGTAGCTGATGATGTTGGACAACGAGCTGCTGATACTGGGGCTGCTTCCATCGTCAGGTAAATTGTCGCCGCTGTCGGCGGAGGAAATTACGATATCGTCAAAACTGCTAGTGCTGTCATCGTCGGAAGTGCTACCGACGCAGGTGTCTCGTTCCCCGTCAGCCGAACCTCGACACGAGCCGTCGCTCAGCTTACCGGCACATCGTTCACCCGTCCTCGGGCACCTGTTGTTGTGTGCTTCCTGTCAGAAAGAAATATCATAAATTAAACTAACTCCTACCCATTTTACCTTAGCATGAGTTTGCATTGCAAAAAAAATCCAATCTAACAAAACCACAAAATTCTGCTTACCTTATTGCTACGGGATAAGAAAAGCTCTTCATCATTTTCATACGAAATTAAACAATAACAAACAAATTTACATCTTGATAAGAAACGCCTACCTCGATGTCTGCAAGAAACGCCTTCTGCTTGGGCGTGGCGTCAAGGGACAGGGACTTGAAGGCGTCCAGAATGGGGCGGTAACCCGTGCAGCGGCAGATGTTCCCGTCCAGGGCGTCCTCTACCTGCTGGGCCGTCAGGGCGCCCTTCTGCTGCAGCTCGCTAGGGGACGTAAGTATGTAGGTGAATAAGCTGCGTGGAACTGAGGTGCGGGGTGCGTGGCTGTGGGTATTGGTTGTTTGGCACTGAATTATGGTTGCGTACGTGACAGTGAGGTATTGGTTGTGCGGCAGTGAGGTATTGGTTGTGCGGCACTGAATTATGGTTGCGTACGTGACAGTGAGGTATTGGTTATGCGGCAGTGAGGTATTGGTTGTGCGGCAGTGAGGTATTGGTTGCTTGGCACTGAATTATGGTTGCGTACGTGACAGTGAGGTATTGGTTGTGCGTCAGTGAGGTATTGGTTGTGCGGCAGTGAGGTATTGGTTGTGCGGCAGTGAGATATTGGTTGCTTGGCACTGAATTATGGTTGCGTACGTGGCAGTGAGTTATAGATTGCGTGGCAGCGAGGCATTGGTTGCGTGGCAGCGAGGTATTATCTGCGTGGTAGTGAGGTATTGGCTACGTGGCAGCGAGGTATTGTTATTAACAAGTGTTAGCAGCGCAGTAGCGATGGTTGCGCACTAATTTAGGTTGTGATGAGCTACGTGGCAGCTCTTAGTTCACGGTAGAATTTGCTTCCTGGTAGAATTTGTTGCAGTGCTGCGTTTTTTTTTTTTTGTATTAGTTTGAGGTATAAAGGAGATAAGTTTGAGGAGACGAAAAGGATGTGTATTCGAAAAATAACTAAATGCGATTAATTAATGGCTCGTTAATTTATAACTCGCTTTAATTAGGAAATTCAAGCGCCAAATGATTAATCGCCTTTTTCGATCAAAATTATTGCGGCTATTATTGGTGGACAACATCTCGTCCCCAATAAGTTATTCGTCACGTAAGAATGTACACCGGAGATCTCACATGGTGTACTGGACAGGGTGGCCCAGTGGTTACAGTTCTGAGTACCAAGATTGGAGCAGAGAGGCGCGGGTGCGCCAGTTTCTGGTCAGAATCGGCAAGGAGGCCGGGCGGTTAAGCAAAGCAAAATTGAAGCAGTGAGTCGCGCGTTCGAGACCGCAACAAGCTGTGAATGTTCTGCGATGTTAAGAATCGGCGACAGGCCTACGGCCTAATAAACGCTGAAACCACTTATATTATTATATTATTATTACGGTCCATGAGGTCGCGCGTGCACGCAATGGTGCCTCCGGTCAAACTTTGAGCGGCGCTACTAATCGCCTTCTACTGATTATCATCAACATCTTCGTTAAACTTAGAGCGGCGCTACCAATCGCCCGTTACTGATTATCATCAACATCTTTGTTAAACTTAGAGCGGCGCTACCAATCGCCCGTTACTGATTATCATCAACATCTTCGTTAAACTTTGAACGGCGCTACCAATCGCCTTCTACTGATTATCATCAACATCTTCCTTAAATAGCGTCCTCTGCGGCATTCCACGATGATATTCCATCTTGCACATCAGTGTATGAAGCCAAGATGTGTAAATGTCCAGCCTGCATAAAGGGTGTGATTCGTAAGAGGGCTTATTGAGTATTTTAATTCTTCAATAAATACATGCCAATAATTATACCACTAAATTAATGACTCACCCGTGCATGGTCATGACCATTCCAGGGGAGCAGTAGCCGCATTGGGTGCCATAAAACCCGGCAAGAGCTTTTTGTATTGGGTGGTACCTTGACAAATAAAATATCATAGTTCAGGGTTAATTAATGCATCCAATACCTAGTAAAAGAAAAAAGTGCATTACATATGATGTCTAAATTTAAAAACCTCTCCTTACATTATCGAAAAAAAAACCTTCTTGTTTATAATTTACATTTTACATTCATCGGTTCTAAAGTAATGCCGGCAGGTCACTTTAGCAGGTAGGTATAGTCACTTTGGATGAATATTTCAAAGAAATGTTAACGCAGAAGCCTTAAAAATCCAAGCCATTGAAGAGGCCCGATGTATATGAAATAAATCAAGGAATAATTATCCATAAACCAAATTTTCTTGTAAAAGGACGGCGGATAACAGAACAGCTATGGCCTCACCCTTTGAAGCGCCCTCCCAAGGCCTCGATGGTCTGTAGTTCCCAGCCGTTGCAGGCGTAGACCATCAGCAGACACTGAAACCAAGTAAAAACGCATAATTTGGCATACATTTTCAATTCGGTAGACACATCAGTTGATAATAGTTTGAATATCATTTTGTGGACAGAATTTTTGCGTCCTATAAGCCGTGGCCACGACCGTGCAGACGCCGCATCCGCCCTCACGACACATCACCTTCGTGCCCGGGACGTGTGCCGTGTAGCGGAGGTAGTCCACGAGCAGCGTGTCCGCCGCCACTGTGCTGGTCGTCACTGTACGCGAGGTAAGAGGAATTGGATTTCAATGCGTCCACTGAAATAATCCTGTGTTATTGTGTGCTGAATTTTGATAGATGTATTCAATTTCTACTTTTGAGATAATCGAATATTACCGTGAAGTGAATTTTGATAGACGTTTTCAATTACTACGTTTTTCGAGGACTAGATTTCAACATGTTCCTCTATTTCGTAATGTATTTTCGAAAAATGAATTTCAACGCGTTCCTTAGATTTATCATGTGCTTGAGGGTTAAACAGGTTAAAAAGCCTTCAGGGCACTCTTTGCCAGGCGTAACCTGTTATCGACACAAGTGATCGGGAAACTTTTTTACGAGGGTGAGGAATGGCTAGCTTCGCAGAAGTGCGCTTAATTCACAACAATGTTACCGTGTACCGTGTTTTATTGTGTGTAAATATTACCGTATTCCAAAATATTTTTTGCAGCAAGTAGAAATATTAAACTTAATATTCCGCTTCTATTGTTGGTGTGTCAATAATAGTTTTCATTGAAATTTTAGACTGAATGCAAAAATATTTACTTCATTTGATTAAGCAGGCGCTCGTATGTGAGTCGCCTTTCTTGGTTTGTTTCATGCAATTTGAGACTCCTTCGTCCTAGACGCATTAACGCGATACTCAGTTTTTTATGATAATATGTGTGTGAATTTTGATGGAACTATTACAACAATTCTATTTAAATTCGCATCTTGTTCTTTGTTTGTCTGCTACAAATCTTATAATCTATATTTAACACACTTCTACCAGTCCAATTGTTCTGAAATTTTGCACACTTACGTAAAGTCAGAGAAAATGCATGATTCAATTGACAGAATAAATAATTTCGAAATTTTAATTTTTTAATATTAAAGAGAAATAAAAAATTAAATTGCTTAAATATTGAAAATAAAATTAGAAATTGATTATGCATGTGTTACATCGGAGACACTGGATTCTATAGAAGTGTTGTCCTTAAAAGTAATTTTTAAACGCATATTTTTTGGATTTAAGGTTGTCGTCCCAGGCCAGGGTTGTCGTCCCGACATGGATAAGCAGGGCAAAAAATGGCAGTAGATATAGGGCTTGTTTATACCTATGGGAGGAGAAGCTGCTTGTGTTGTTGGCTGCTTGTTTTTATAGTAAATATTTTCAGCTTGATTTAGTTTAACTCGTGTCAAGTCAGAACAGCGCAAGAACATAATTCAAATAAGAATTTAATTCTTTGCGAGCACGTTGGATCGCAAGTGTGAAGCCGGCAAATTGCAATCGCTGAAAATTTAACACAAATCATGACGAGAAAAGGCAACAATGCAACCGGTTTGGGGTCTCGCCGTGATTGCCGCCGGCTTAATTACCTTCAACTCGAGCAAGTATCCATGAGAAAAAAGCAAGTAAGAAAAATAAACAGAGCACAGTAAAGTCAGAGAATTCAGAAACAATGTGAAGCATAGCGAAGACAATTGATAGTGAGAATATGCATCCGAAAGTAGAAACAATTATCGATCGTTCATCACAATATTTGGGAAATAAGGTTAGCGAAAAATATCTTGGATATACTGCCATCGTGAGCTTGAAATCAAGGTTTTCAAATCTTTTATAGTGCACTGATATCCAATTAAACTTTCCACTTCGAAATGCAAAATAACACAATATGCAAATGATTAATTGAAAAATATGTTTATAACTTAATTTCTTAATTTTTGCCTCGAAAATTCATTGTAGATGCTTTAATTTGAAACTTTTTGTATACAGATCTAATTAACCGGAAAAGATGATGAACTTACAATAGTGGGGCAAATATATTGAGATAGACAATAATTTCGAAGAATATTAACGAATAATTTGGATAAAGCACTATGTAATTTTTCATTATCAGATTCGGATATAATTTTCCAGCTGATTTATTGCAGCATAATTGATTTGGGTTATCGCTTGGAGGGCAAACTTCACTGCACAACTGATCGTCAAGATAATCATCAAGCACGACATGTTGAAGCAGTTAATAACGTTGCCATAGATCCATCATAATCACATCAGGCTTCATTGATGCATGTACGTCCTCCTCGAGTCCTATATATAGGCGGCCCTAATGCAGGGTCACGTACTACTCTAAATTTTGTTACGGGAATAGACATGTGCAATAATTTTACAATTTCGATCAGAATATAAATATTTATAACGTTGAATAGTATGAGTTTGCGGGTGCGGCATGCATCATGCTTGTGTCATCGGCAGAAAGCAGAAACTAAAAATAATCCACACCTTTACTATCAAAAGGACTCGTTTCCATCACCCATATTTTCGAAACAATAGAATTTGTAATGCTTATTACCAGTTGGTCGCATGCTTATGGGTGCAAATAATTACCTAGATTATTCCTAGCGAAAGTTATACGCTTAAGGTTCTATAAGGTGCGCCAAAGATGGATTCAGAGCTTGTTAGTTCATTACATTTAATAAATATTTAAGTTATCAACAATACAGATAGCTTAAGGCACTCACGCGTGTGCTGCTTGCCATTCAGCACGAAAGAAACGACGTCTTGTGTGGCAGAGCCGATGTTGGAAGCCATGGCTGGGAAAGGTTCAGACTCGCAATCAAAATTGCACAGCTAATTTTAAAATGAAGTCATGCAACCTAATAGATTCACAATTAAAATTAAATTGAAGTTAGATATGGTGGATAAGAATAACTATAGTCACTATAAATTTATTCTATGTTTATTTTACAAGTAAATGTGACGCCAGAGCAAAATATTGTTAGTTGTATCGAGGAACAGGGTTGATAAATCAAATTTTAGAACTGAAATAAAATATTCTAAAGCGGACATTAGACTTTGACAATTTCTTGGACAGTGCACCCACGAAAAAGAGAAAAACCAGCAAACGTAAATAATATCGTGCATTGAACTCTATAGCAGAATTCAATTGTATTTATTTTGCATACGGCTAAACAATGAAATATATAATAGAAATTTTAGAGCAACCAATCTCGGCCAAATAAATATTATTGAAAATGTGAACTAATCAACAACTATCGAAAATATTAACGCTAGTATAGTCATGGTTGAATGTAACAACTGCAGCCGACTGAGGGCCCCAATAGCACGTCCGTTCCTTCCACACAACTGCGGCCGACTGAGGGCCCCAATAGCGCGTCCACTCCTCCTACACAATTACTGCCTACTGGGGGAACCAATAACGCATTCACCTCTCACGTACAACTGCTGTGGGAGGTGGGGAGCGCGAGGGTGGGACATCTTTAATGCGAGTGTCTCACCCTAAACGCTGGTGTCTCACCCGTAACGCGGGTGTCTCATCCGTAACGCGAGTGCCTCACCCGTAACGCGAGTGTCTCATCCGTAACGCGGGTGTCTCATCCGTAACGCGAGTGTCTCACCCGTAACGCGGGTGTCTCATCCGTAACGCGAGTGTCTCACCCGTAACGCGAGTGTCTCACCCGTAACGCGAGTGTCTCACCCGTAACGCGAGTGTCTCACCCGTAACGCTGGTGTCTCACCCGTAACGCTGGTGTCTCAAGCCCAGCTCAACCAGAACGGATATCTCGTGTGGAGCAAATGGACTTATGCTGGCTTGATCCCGACTCTTAGTAAGAGTATGGACGGTGAAAGCCTGGCCTCACGATTCTTATTTTACAGAGAAGTTCTAGCAAAGGGTTTCGGAGAAGTTACAACGCACCTTATCCTTGTAACTTGCAAACCACGCATATAATATATTTGTAAAGCAGTTTTTTATTTCATAATTATTGTTCAACGTGCTTTTCTCGTTTTCTATTCTACTATAGTACGTTTAAAATCTTGCATAATAACTCGTCCTCTCATTTACTTCTCTGTTGTGGCTACAGAAACTTCGATAGCGCAGACATTGAAACAACATTATATCTAATCTTTAGTCACAATACCTGCCTTTGTAGACCGAAATAATTATTTTTTTCCCAACACTGACTTTTGACCCATCCCGCTGGACTACTTTTGGCAAACAGGCATTGCCGCAGTTCCAAGAGTTACCCCAACTGGCGCACGCATTCCGTGTTTGAGTTGCAGTGTCAGTTATATGTCAAGATAAAACGCTATTTAAATTGGCTCAATGAAGCGTCCGGACTTGCAAGTATTGCACAGAATAATTGGTTGGCCATCGCTTTTCATTGTTTCCTGCACTAATTACGGTAGTAATACTCGTATTTGATCTCCCAAACGTCGACGGCGTATCATATCGCCAAGCATGCTTCATATAGCATTGCTAACTTGTGAGTTTTAATGTTTAAAATGGCACACCGTTATATGTGCCTGAAGAGGGTGACACTAGTGAGAAAAACTTTGCAAATAATTGCGAAACTAGTATATTATTCATTGGAACCACCGACTTGCAGCCTAGGATGGTTACGTACCATTCTAGCGATAGTCTTTAAGTTTAAACTGACCAGGAGTGTAATTCACATACGTAATCAAAACTTTGTAGATGGAGCAAAATTTAATAACATGAAAGAACGCAATTAACGATCACGGATGTTATACTGATTACAGATTCAGATTACAGTGGTTGAAATTATTTTGCATAGGTCTGAAAATTAACGGAATTCAACAGTATAACTACATCAAAAAACTAGCAAGTCCTGCGTCTCACGCCATCCACAACAGCGAGCGTCACGACTAAAATGAATAAGACTGTCAGGTGTAGCAGTAAGGAGCTTATCAATTGCCAAAAAAAATCTACGCGCTATGCGTAAATGCTGCGGCTACATTCACAATATTTACACTGATATATGTTGTTTAAACTCTCACTATGGCCACGCACATCAAACTCACACATTATTACAACTTCGTAGTATATTCAGTACAGTCTCTTGCTAAATGCTCTATACAAAGCGTTCACTCATGTCATACATTGTATGTAACAACATTAAGAGATACTTTCCTTAGTCCAGCACTTGACATTTTGTTGTCATAATTTTTAATTGATACAATTCGGGATGCTATAATATTTCTACAAATGCAAATGGCGGACGGCGTACAGCATCGGACGGACCAGACAGGAATTTATTTTATGTTTCAGATTAAATTTTTTCCATCAAGCAAGTATAGAGGGATGCTGAGTACGTGAAGATGGATTACTATATTGAGCGCAGGGACGCCATATTCATAGAATTTCATCCTCTAAACCATTTTCTTTATAGCCTTATTCATATACACGTACTCCATCACAGGTTTCTATTGCAATACCTTGTCTAAGAGTTGGCCTAATGCAAACACTATACGTAATGATTTTCCAACGAAAGCAGATTGAATCGTTCATCCACCGGACGTCGAACGAAAGGGCTTGAACTGATAAGGAATGGTCGTTCGGAACGTAATGATATGTCTACTTACAAATAGATCATTAAATTCACATACTTAAATTTCCTCAATTTCATCGGCGAATACCTATACTTGGTTTACTGGTTTACTTCTATAACGTTCGAAAACCACGGTACCGTTGTACTCGGTCACTCAGCAGTCAAGAGCTAATAAAACTCGAATCTAATTCAAAGGGGAGTTTAATAGCCCCTACAAAGGAGGACAAAGAGCAGTCACAGTAATTCAGACAATGTACAATAACATTTAACAGTGTATCGAATAACTTAACTTCTAAGTAACTATATCTTAACCTTTAACATTAATAAAAAACTATTTCAATTTATGACATCGAATGTTGTACCAAATCACATGGGATAGTAAGTTCAGCATATGAATCATAGTGTATCTGAAATTCTGAAAGCATACCATCAATTTTTAGAAAATTTTCGTTATTCCGAATTTCAATTATGTGCATTAGATAGGGAACTACTGAATTCTTATTCGACCCACGAAAGAATGAAATTTGGCCATGTAGAATTAGCCAATGACGAATTGAAAATTAAATAAACCCAGAATAAAAGTAAACATTGAGCATTAAATAAGGCAAGATATGTAGCTTCTATGCAGAACACCGGTTGATCAGACGGGCTCAGAGGCCGCAGGTTCACTGCAGGAGTTTTGGCGCTGCACGAGCCGTGAAGCGGAGCACATGGTCGCGCTGGAGCCGAGGGGAGACGATATCAGGATAACCAGCAGCGCGATGGTCTGCACCTACAGACACAAGAACGGGTGTCTGCTTATTAGCTTTTTAATAACTTAATTTTCTTATAAGTCAGCGTAAGTAATATTTTTATTCACTAGTATAATTAAGTGACAACTTGTCGTCTGGAGATTCTTCAGTCCTTTGCTTATAAAGAATAACTTGCAAAGATCTGTCTGCTACAGAGACTATACTAAAATACGCGAAACTTTATTGTAATCATCAGAAAAAATTAATAAGACAGCAGTATTAATTTTCGAAACAGGTATCCAATATAAAAAATTGCGTTAACACAGCATTAAATAGCAAATGAAGGTATTTATAGGGAATATTTACATATCAATAAACCAATTTATTTATTCGATCCACTTTATTTCAATCGAAGTTGGTCACTGCCTGCTATTTAAATCATGTTCGCGAATTATAGTGTTTTTTGCATAATTCGCGCAATTATCATTTACCATGAAAGCAATTATCATTCTATAATTTTGTTCAAAAACTAAGAAAAATTTACACGATACTGTTGTATCCTAGCTACAGTGGCCGGTCAGCGTATATACCTGCTTAGCAAGGAAGACATCGCTCTCGTTAGCCCCGATGCTCACAGCGTACTCCAGAGCTGTCGAGTTGATCACTGCCTGGAGAGAAAAACTCAGTAAAGACTTATCAATTTGAAGACATAATTCTTGAGGTTAAATTAATTCAATCCACTTTTCATGATGTTTAATGAACCACTCAGGGTGACCAACAATACTGGCTAGTAAAAAAAGACAAATCTTTTGTTGTCATATATAAATGAAAAAAAAACGAATTCACAGCCTACATGTTTTTACAATGAAACGCTCAATGAATAGCATACACACATAGCTACCTGCTGACTGAAACTACAAAATTAATTAATGTATTGGTAATTAATGTAATAATGGTAATGCAATAATAATAGGTAATATTTCATATATGGAATAAACTTCTTGGATATGAAGCCAAGAAAAAATCAACTCGATCAAATCAAAAAATCAAAAAATAAAAAAAAATCATATTGAACCGACTCAATGCGGATGATACAATTTTTTAAAATTGAACCCAAATTTAAAATTTCAGTCTTCCCCAAAATTATTGTTCTCAACTTAAAAAAATATAAACTATCATATGAACTCTAGGAAAATAATCATGTATAAGCATACCACGGCCCATGAATACACGCATAATTGTGTTTTCTGTGTTTCCAAAATTGTGTTTCCAAAATTCCTCTCAAAATATTGGTGTTCGGGAAAATGTTTTTTCGTTGATGCTAATATTAATGATTTGGTATCTACATCTCTTAGAAAACTGCCCTAACGAAATTCGGGGAGCGCCTGAGCTTCGGCCAAATAATCGCTACACTAGCCGCACAATCAATTTGGATTTTCTGGGTCATCCAGTCGGAAGCTGTTTCTGATTATATTCTCCTTTCCGACTTTATTGTCGCCCGAGAGCATGAGAAGCTGCCCTTCAAATCCTGAGTTGAAGCGGACATCGAATGACTAATTTACACATTCCTCGAGTCCTAAGCGGCACCTACTTCAGAGTCTGGAACGCATCTAAATTTTATTATGATAATGGTGTTCGTTACTAGTTAATATATACGCAGAATCTTGTAACAGGAGAACCTGGACGTTGGCCTTGGCTAGCCAGGCGAGGGCGACGAAGAATCGCTCCCTGATGTTAAAGCCGCTGCCGAGCACCACGAAGAAGGTCGTCACCACGCGACACGTCAGGCTGATGCACAACAGGGCAACCCCCAGCCATATGGTGCCTTGCTCCATCTCATTAAACTAAACTCATTTTGGTCAAATAATATTTCTGCTTATGAATAAAATGCATGATATTTAAAACATGGTCCGTCATCTTAAACAAAATATATGCAAAAAAAGTTGTCCTTTCAAAAGCTTTAAGACAGAAAACTTTCGGAAAACACATTCAAAGTACGTTTAATTATAACAATGTTTAAAAACATCATGTGCCATATTCATACACCAGCAGGGTCTGGAAACAATTATTACACGCACTCACCCGTACTTTGCTGCCGACGAGGGCAACGATCATGGGCTGGCAATAGTCCCAAGTAAAACTGAAATGCTGCATCACTGGGATGACGTCACCCCAGCCTTGCCGTCGGTACCCTTCTCCTGCCACGAACCCCAAGACAACCACCGCCAGCGCTCCAGCGCCACCAAATTCAGTCTGCAACGAGATGCACGTGACGTTGGTACCCTTAACCTGCTACAAACACCAAGACAACCACCGCCAGCGCTCCAGCTCCACCAAAGTCAGTCTGCAACCAGACGCACGTGTCTTTTGGTACCCTTAACCCTGTCTCTTATACACATCTAGATGTGTATAAGAGACAGCCCTTAACCTGCTACAAACACCAAGACAACCACCGCCAGCGCTCCAGCGCCACCAAAGTCAGTCTGCAACCAGACGCACGAGAACAGGCCTATAAGCAGGTGTAGGCACCAACAGCAGGCGTAGCTACCAACTACGTGCTGGCTGAACTTCGCGAGATGGGGGTAAGCGAAAACGGTTAAATTGGCACGCAAAAGGTCTAAACAGCCTCAAATAATATTTGTTTTCAAATTTGTATCACTTCTTGTGCAGAATGTTATTTTGCTTAATTTTTTTATTTATAACTTTAAAATTGCAATTGGTTTGATGCCCACGTGTATCTTTTGACAGCCAACTCAATTGAAAAATGCCTAAATCAGAGAATTAGGGTGTAAAAGGCCTTTCTGGATTTGATGAAGGTGCTTCTGCAGGATAGCTTGTATCCATATCGGTAACTTCTAGATTAGCGAGTGTATCGACTCGAATCTATCTTTTACTTACTGAATATTTACATATTTTTACTTACTGATTACTTACTTACTTACTATTTGTATACTTATTTGTTTTTTACTGTTTCTAGTGTTGGTGTGTTTTACCAGAGCGTACTTCACGAAATTATCTGTTTTACTACGAGAAATGGTATTTATGACATTGGATTAGAAAATTCAATAGATGCAGATTGGAAACTTCTTTACCTTTAAGGTCGTTTTTTTTCTGGCACAATCATTTTCGGAAGGCGTTCGAAGGGACCTCCAACTTTGAAAACATCGAAAAGTCGAAAATGAAAGAAATTCTGATATTTTTTTAACTAAATGATAATTGTGCTCTACTAAATTTTTTTTTACAATACGAAACATTTTACTGCGTTATTTGCAACTGCACTCTTATGAGGTTCCTAAAAAGGTTTAACCCGAGACATAATCAACAAATGTACTCTCGGTCATATAGCAACGCCCAATACGTCACACAAACTTTAATCCTCAAAATAAAAAATTTACGTGATTTTCTGGCCCTAAAATTCACTGAATTAAGGCCCTGTAACTCCCTTCTTCTTCCCTGAACTTGTGAGAAAAATAATGCAGAAACCTAGACAAATAATACAAATAAAAAAACAAAAATATCAATATGTTGACTCAGCTGCACCAACCCTGCTACTCCCGAAGAGTGCCACGAGCCCAGCGGTGAGCAGCACGAGGTACTGAACCACAGAGCCGCCCGGGTGTTGTTTGTTGGGCAGGATCCAACAGACGAAACCCATCACGACTCCATAGGTCAATGCTATCAACACCTCCAGAGGTCCATGCAGGATTAGCTTCGATAACGAACCTGACAAAAATCCTTATTATAATATAATGTAAACCTAATTTCGAAGTTCCTAAAAAATCGTTACTCGAGGAGTAGTAACTATGAAATTATTCACTCAAATTATAGACCTGTTTTTAATAGAGCTCAAAGTCTCCACCGTGAAAGTAACTTACTCCATATGTAGGCCACTTACCCCCAGAAAAAATAACACCTAGTAGTATATTGGAGCACGCGATGGCAAACACATCCTCGACGATGGTCGTGGCGGTGACGAAGGACAAAATACGTTTTTCGTAGCCCAGGCGCGCCAGCACCAGCATGCACGGTACCATCACAGCCGGCGACACCGGCGCCACAACGAATCTAATATGAAGCAGCAGCTTATTTATCATGTACAATGTCATTTACATCAGCAGTTTATGGTTCTTGCATTAATATTTTATTGGTGATTATGAGCTAGAGACGAAATGACTTATTGGTAAACGAATGATAGCTTCCAGAGCGAAGGGAACGATGATTTGTAAATTCTTTTTTATTATACCTTAATTATCTATATAAATGATCAATTAATGTAAATATTTATTTTATTAATTATAATTTATTTATAAATATATACACTATAATTGAATTGGAAATAAAAGACATAGCCAATCCGCAGATGATATTAATTATTCTTGTTACATTATTTTTTCGCGCTCCTACAAATTTAAGAAGATTAAGTTCGGTACCCGAGCATGAAGCCCCAGAGCCACGGTAAGCCGAGGAGGAAGTGCGCGACGATGGCAACGACGAAGGTCTCGACGAGACAGGGCACGAAGGCGAGTCTGGTGACCGCTAGATACATCGTCTTGAGGACTTTAGGTTCCAAATATAGCCCGGCCCGGGTTAAGATCACCACCAGCGAAAAGTTCCTGATATATTTATGACATTTAGCTACATTTTCTGAAAACGTTCTCACTCTGTATATGTATTAGAAAATCGTGGAATGTGGCTTGCAAAAAGTCATATAATCAATCAATTACATACAGAACAAATTTTATTTATATATTTATTATTTCACGAAGAGAACTAGAACAAAGTAAGGCAGGAGACAACTGGAGCGTGCATCCTTAATTTAATCGTGACAAGGCGACAAGAGACATGAACTGGAACGTGGCAAGGCAACAGCAGTCATGAACTGTAAAGCTAACAATTAGAGCAAGATGAATCATGAACTTTTCAGCTGACAATCAAAGCAACAAAAGAAATCAAATGAAAGATATGTAAATCAGGAGTAGACAGCCCCAGCTCCACCTGACAGCGAGGTGCCAGTTGGGTTCGATGCTGTCCCCGATGATCCTGACGCCTGGGATGTTGGCCAGTAGAAAGCCCGCAAACAACATCCCCGGGAATGCTGGCAACCCGTACAGCTGGTTAAAATATAAATTAAAATCATTGCTTCTCCATTAAAGTTTGATAAAAGAAATGACTACCTACTTGAACTACTAAACTGAGTGGGACAACTCGAATACAAAATGAGCAAAAAGACGATGCTAACCAATTGATAATAACATATGAAAACGGAAATCTTAATGGTGAAAAATTATCTTTATCGAGTTTTCTTGTTTACAATTGTATTTTCATTCTGTGTTATCCCACTCAGCCTGTCCAGAGGATGCACCTCATTGATGAAGGTGCCTCCTTATGCACAAAAAGTTTAAGGTCACAATATCCATGAACTACAAACTGAAGTTTTCTCGACTTATCCTTTACCTGAGTGAATCTTCCGCCGTTTGTAGAGCAGATGAAGACAATGAGGAGAGAGAAGAGAGTGCCGCCTGGAAGAGCGAAGTTGCCAGTGATGGAGTATAGCGAACCCCAAGCTAGGAAGTACAGAGCTACTAGCGTCACCACAGCTCCCACCTGACACGTTAGCTTTATTATTAATTTCAAGCTACAATCATCATTTATACCTACCGATTTATTAATCAGAGATAAACTTTATGTCTAATCCTTTCAAAACAGTTTGCAATGGTAATCTCTCGACACGCTAAGTAACGTGGAATAACCCCGGTACATTTGGTGTGTCGGGCGTAATAAACCCCACACCGCACGCACACATACACTCAAAAAATATATTTGTGTATGTATAAGATGGACTGTATATTCAATATATAAATATTATGATGATTAATAAAATGGTGCCTACCATCCCGTGAGGTGGGCAGGTGAAGGCATATTTGAGACGATCACTCCTGGTGGGGGTGGGAGGCAGTGGGTTGTTTTTCTGCATGATTTGTCTGAAGCAACCACAAATTTTCAGACGCGATCCAAAGCCATCCAACCGATTCAGGATTGTGTTTGGACTCTCCACACCTGTGAATGTGAGATGCATGAATATTTACCGAAACACAACTGAAGTTCTTGATATACATCAGTTATTATTTCGTCAAGATATCAATTTATAATTTACTTCTCTCTAAATATTGGGGTTCCATCACATTATTTTCTTATTTTTCTGTCATAGTGATTCATCACTAACTAATCTGTTTGTGTTCCCATCAAAAACTTCATGGCGCACCAGAATGTTCACTTCGTCTCTAGTTTTACTGAATTACACAATTGTTCCGATGTTTAAAAGTCTCGACCAGTGAAGGTTAACCATGGCAATTAAGCTTGGCAATTAAGATTCAAGCTTCAATCAGCTTCCATACCACATGAAGTATTAATATAGAATATTTTAGCTTCAAACACTGCCAGCTGCTGTTTAATTAACACCTGACGACTCTACACTTGAGAGCTTTTTCTCGCTCAGCATGTCCAGGAGATGCTCAATCATTGATGAAGTTGCCTCTAACACACGTACTACAGACTGAATTTTTCTTTGCTTATACTTTATTATGTAATGTTGTCATTCTACCGCTGATTCGTTGTGATTCTACCGCAGTAGCCTTATCTATACCGTTATTTAGAACATAAAAGAAAGCTAAGATTACACTGAAATGATACACACATTTATTTGCATTTCTAAATTTGCAAATAGTGGCACTTGAGTAATTTTGAACATTTGAATTTCGTTCCAAGAGTGCAAAGCAAGGTATGAGACCGAAACCATTTGTTGAACCAAAAGGTAATTTCAGATTAGTGATATGTCGTCAAAAAATTCTATAGATTGTTAAGCAAGTATCGGGATTGAAGTCCGGAACAAATATCAAAGATAAATGATGGGAGATAGATCCCAAAAGATAACCAATTCAGGACTTCCATGTTCTAATTGAGGAGACAGTCTTAGGATCGACCTCTATTATTTTTTTTAAATCGGTGTATACGATGGGAAATTCTAGGAAAGGATCAAAAAGGAATCCATATTATAAAATCAATTTTTAAATGACCCTGGGCGTGAAATAACTCTTAAAATACGTTTGATCAACGGATTGATTTCTTTGAAACAATGTTTTATAAACGAAGTTTCAACTTCAGATGCCAGGTGAGCTTGTGGCATCAGTGGTGAAGAAGTCGATGGAGCAGGCATCGATAATGCTCCGTCGAACTCCAACTGGAGCCATCGTACATTTTGTCGCTCGTGTTATCCGACTTTCCGGAGCTGGAGCGCTTGCTGTGTGGCGAGCTATAGCGCCGTTAAAGAATCATTCTGTTTACATCATCATAGCGGTTTGTGATGGCTCAAGCGTCATAAAAATATGGGAGATTATGGTGTAGTAAAAATGGCGGTAATGAATGCATCAATTTTGGGGTCATTAAAGGAAATCATTTTCCGTGGGTGAACCATTTTGTAATTTTGTTGCACGCTGAACGTTAAAGATATTTAGATTTAAATGCAGGGTGTTTTAACCGTACAAGTTAAATAAAAAAACAAAAGCTATTTTGAATCCAGTGATCCACTACTTTTGAGTTACCAAAGCATTAAATGACAAGGTTAATTTTAGTAAAATTATGACAGATGATATTTGCATCAAATGAGTCAAGTAAAGTCATTAGATCACCCCATGCAAGCAAAATAATAGAGCAAATTAGATTAATTACCAGAAGCACACCATCTTGAGATATGTTTGAAGAGTACGAAGAACCTGGTAAATGTGATGGAGCTGACCACAAAGTAAAGTTACACAGAGTTAGTTTCGGTTCTGATGCGAAATAAAATCTTTTAAATTACCAGCAATGCTGAATGGAGTTTGAGCAGCCAACTCTGACATCGGCCATATGGTAGAGGACGAAGTCTCAGCGGAATTTGATGTTGAGTTGTTGCTGGACCCTCGGGATGTGTTGTGTTCAGCAGGCATCTTATAGAATCCTGCACAGGATCGAGGAAGGGTGCGGGATAAAGAGGCTTGAGTTGCCCGAGATGTTTAACAGTAGAACTTCGAACGTGATGACGACGAACTTGGGTTGTGATGAAGTGGTAGTCAAAGTTAACGTGGTCTTCTCCGGAACTCAATTTACGCGTCTTTCACGACATTAACTGTAAAAGGAGGCAACCAATATAATTACGATGATTGGAAGGATAATATTATTCACGAAGTAACTACATTCTTTTTCGCCATATCATCGCTGAATTTTATCGAAATAACGAATTTAATGAATTAAAATGGAATTTCAGGCTAAAAGTTGATTTATCTGATGCTATATCACCTAAGAACCAGAGTCGTGAAATCTTTTACACGCATACCTTCAGAGTGCGAGTTTTTCTCTCTTCTCTGGCATACCGACATTAAATTAATCTTTAACTTACTTGTGAAGTCCTTAAAGTGATAAATTAACATGTCGAATCAGAATAAATATCACAAAATTTTAGATACGCATTCCTACCTTGTTTTTCGTTTATTAAACTTGATAGGTAGCTACTAATCTTTTCATGCCTTTATTTTACTTTGGGTATGTAAGAAAGCGCAAAGTCGCCAATTAATTCACTTTCCAATGATTACCTGCACATTTTGTGATGTTGAATAAATAATTAGGCGCATGCAGATCGAATTAAAACCATATTAAACAGCCTCCCATTCGTCAGACGAAGCTTTTAGAACTTTACCTCTGCTCTATTGTCCTGACTGAATATAGCTCAGAACTCAAAGCAAGTGTTGAGAACCAAATATAAGTTTTTTGTGTTGTCAGCAACCTACGAATTTTTTTGCTTCCATAGCCTATATAGTTGCAGGAATATTGTGAGATATGCATTGTTACTTAAATATATATAAACTGTATGAAGTTTCTTCATAACTCTTTGATTTTATCATAAGCAGGTTTTGTTATTGGTTGCATAACAAAATTAATTTAAAACGGAAATTTCGCAGACTACAATGACTTACCGTATATAATTGGCTTACGCTGTCCTCAAATACACGTAGTACTTCAAGAAATACTTGACAACTGCAGTGATACCTGCAATTCACAAGCATTTTTTTACATCTTTTCTAATTAATTATCATGTTTTCCATTGTAATATATTTTTGAAATTTAATCATTAATCTTATGAATATATTATTCTATTTATTGCATTGAAGATCAATTGGCGTCAGTGTGCGTCAAACGCCCGTCGCAACACGCTTTGGCGAAAAATGTCTCAAAGTATATTTTTTGATAATATATAATATATAATAATAGATAATTTATAATATATAATAGATAATGTTTGGAAGTACTATATTTCAGTTTCTCGGTTGAGCCTCAATTAATTTTAAACAGTTTATCAAATCAAACCAAAAATAAAAAATCAAATTATTATCAATAATATAATTATTATTCTATTAATCAAATTTTATCTAATTTATCAAATCAAAATCGAATAATTCTAAATCAAAAGAATATATTTGCAATAAATAATAATATATTATTAGACCTCATCTGTTATAAGTGAACCTGCGAAAAGGTTCATTTATACCATTTATTTAACTGTTGAGGAAGTTAGAAATTATTCGTTCCCTTATATCCTAATTTTTATTTTTTTACTTAAAAGAATTTATTTATTCGAATTCATTCTGCAAATAAAGGTGGAAAAGAAATTACATTCGCGAATCTCATGAAAAAAAATGACTTTGCTTCCATAGCGCTGTTAGAACAACCAACTCTTTTCTTTCTTAAAAATATTTCCCCTTTCCTGACTATGTAAGCTAGCAGTCCTAGGGAGACCTCAGCCTAATGTCCTAACACTGTAAGAAGCAATGACAATCTGGACAATCAATCAAACGTGATGACCAGTACCAATTTTGAAAGCTTGCTAATCAAGAAAGCCATAAGCGTCTCATGGAAATGAATAATGATCACGCGGCCTTCAGACCATGCATTACGAGGACGGAACACTAATTTTCGCCGCTGAATCCAGCCTACACGTGTGTTATGGCGCTTATTAGACTGGGCGTTCTGATCAACATCAGCGGGAATGTATTGCTTCAATCGGAGCATCACTGCGAAACAATTGATTATTCGTTGTAATCGTTGATTACTAATACATCACGCAGAGATAGCATCGTAATCTGAGTTTAGTGCCATGAGAGTATCCACGTCCATATGGCATTCGCCGAGATTCTCGAAGATATTTGAATGGAGAATACACGTGTGCTGTGGTGCTAAGAACTGGGACAAAACGCACTAGCAAGTCATGCTTTGAGCTATAGAAAGTCGGATATGTACGACCCCTTGACCGCGCCGTGTTCGCCGTCAAATTCAGCTCAACTTTACATGAGTTCCCAAATTACTGGGCTTCGCGACGACTACGATGGAAGTGTCTGCAATCAAAATTTAAAATCAAATATATGTTTTGTATGGACTCCTGTTTAACTCATGTTTAAACAAAAGGGATTGCCTATAAGAATTTGGAGGAATAGAATCTAAGCCAACAACATGCACTGAAAAACTCCGTAAAGAATTGGGAGCCGATAATCGATGATTAGATGGTTTACCAATCAAATTCGTTACTATTTTCCGTCTCGAGAAATTTTTCATGAATAGCCAACAAATTTTATGACGTCAAGCTTCTTCAGTTTGAGAATAAGGAAATCTGATCTGTACCATTATTATATTTTTAAAAGGGTTTATAATAGCAACACAACGAGTATAATAGAAACACATCATTCAATGCCGAAGATACTACTACATATACAGAGTGTACCGAAAAACGCGAGTGAAAAAAAAAGTATTCCCCTTAAACCGAAACTTTTAATTTACTTCATTATCTTATTATTTGCTTCATATGTTTAGCCTTGTTCATTTTACTCTGTTTACTTTACTTTTTACTACTTTGTATCCTTTGTCAGCAAGTAACGTAAGTTCCACCGTACGATCCAGAGCTTCTGAACCTCGATCCCTCTGTCGGTTACGTCGGATCCGCAGTAGGATCGGGAGCGCAGCCGTGCACTACCAATTTTGTGCACCAATAGGCCCTGAATAGAACGCCTTGGATCTCTCCGGACATCCACCAATCAGCCGTGAACCACTCGGCTTTGTCCTCCTCCAGCCTTGCATAAAACCTGCCGTGTACCACCAGACTCGGATCGAACATGACTTCCGGGCATCGTTAAATTAGGTAATTTTACGTTCACCGCATCTGAGGTTAGGTTTCAGATAGCATAGTTCTGTTCCAAAATTTATCGTCCTTCGACGAGTGGTCGTTCGACCGAGGGCTGGTTCGACGCTCGGCCTAAATACGGACGGCTTGAAGTGTTGAAGGCTACGTTCCGGAAGGCAGGAATCATGATCGATGGTCCATTATACCCAGGGCAGTGGTGGTCTTCGGCAGGCGACCCTTATAGGGTCCAGAGCGCCTGCATATCTTTTATCAGCAGGGGACGTATTGCATCAACCGAAGATCGCAAAAGTGATTTATACATGTCATCAAATTGGTGTTGCTGCTTTATATTTGACCTATTACTATCAGCATTTTTGCATAAATAAACTCGATTAACTTCCAACAGCAGCTTTCTTTCATGACTAGATAAATTATCTAGAACCATAAAAAACTGTTCTACTTTTAATATTCTGCTCAAATATATCCCTCTGAAAAGAGTTAAGAACTGATGTTAAACCGCGCTTTCATCCTCACCACAGAAAAAAATCCATTCCTCCTTTGTTTATGAACGAAATCAATTTTGTGCCTTCGGGCTCGCATTAGTATTCTGTGAAAGATTGAAAGCAATCAATTACCTAAGTAGCTTAATTTCTTTGAGTGCTTCGAATGCTTACGAGCTGACCGAGCTTTGCAGTGAAAATTTGCCAAGTTTTAGAAGGGCTTTTATTTTGTAACGCATTTTCATAAATTTTGTCATTTTAAGTTCATCGCTTTACTATAATTTTACGATAAATAAAACAGATGCGGCCGCTCACTTATGCTCGTAAAAATTTATTAATTTCAAATTGAAATCCTAGAATTTTGCTGTTAGCTGCCAATTCCAATTTCGCTGTTTCAGATCTTCTCATTAGAGAGATCAATTCTTATTTTTGAGTACTTCAACCAACCGTAACAAACTAAAAAAAACGGAGCTTTACATTGAAGGTGAATTTGAATTATAAATGCACCAGTTGCTGAAGCCATAATGATGTGCCTGAGAGTGCGCTCCTGAAATTCTTCTCAAGTCATTGCCATGGATGACATAGAACTCCATCAGAATATTTGCCATATCCTTCTAATACATGTTAATAACTCTTAACCGGAGATAAATATTGGTCTGCTGAGACCCATGATAATCGACTGAGCCCTGGCATATACACGTGTCGTTGCCGTGCCACATCTGATCAAGATTAGGGTAATATATATAAATAGAATCTTTACTCGCTGTATAAAATCCCTATGATTTGAAAATTCCGATATAAATAATCGCGAAAACAATTTTCAATTGAAACTGTACTATTAAAACCCATATTTTGAAATTAAACTACCATTTAAATACTGTTTTGAAATACAATAGAAACTTTGACATTTCATTTTCAAAATAACTTCCTTGATTGTTTATTACTGTTTTATGAATCAATCATTAAAAAATTTACTACCATTCAACAATTCAACAATCGACAGGAGGATTTTTGAGGAATTCTGATCGTGTAGTCAATTTATTACCAGTGCAACGCTTCAAAAAAATAAACTGCTAAACTTTCACTAATGCATAAATGATTCCCGACTGACGAATTTCTAGTCTATTTTTGCCTGGAAGCAAGTCAGTATGTACTATATTCAAAATAATATTCGTCTACGAATGCTCTGGCCTTCAATAATGCTTTTCGTAGGCCGGGTAACCAAATTTATCCTCAAAATTGGAAACTCATTCAAGTTACTTTTCTGTTGCATAAGGTTTTAGGAATTGAATTGCAATAATTATAAGACCAGTGATATAAAATTCTAATGGAGAAGTAACTATCACAAATGGTCGTATATAAAGATAGACAACCCTAATCACCAACTTATGGAATACTATAATTTAAGGCCACTATAATTACTTAAAAATTTGGAACTTGCGTAGATTTAGGAATTTTACTATTTTATGATTGTTTTAATCAAATAATTGAACTTAAATAAAAAATCAATTTAATCGTGAATTGTTTTTAATCCGAAAATAACATATGAGTTAAATGCTAGCTATAGGAGCTTAATATGTCATCTATCATGTAGCTTTCGTCATTTCAACTATTTTTCTCTTCGTTGAATTAAACCGTTTTCACAATTAATTTAAGTAAGAAGACATGTATTCACTATACCGAGGCTTCTTTATACGTTGTTTTTTTGGTTCTTATACCTCATTTTTCTTGCATTTTATCCTAAATTTGTCTCAGTTTTTAGTGCATTTTCTCATATATGGAAAAAATGCACTATTGTGGTCGCCATGTCCGTTTGTCTGTCTGTCCGTCAGTCTGTCCGTCCGTCGGTCCGTCCGTCTGTCCGTGACCTCAAGTTTTCGTCGAAGAGAAAATGCGCTCTCTGTCACTCACTGCAGTGAGTACTGAGTTATATTTTTATTATATCTCTGTGGTAAAGTTTGTTTCCCTCATATGAATGTAATAAATCATGATGTATGATTGTTCAGTTATGATATTCGATTTATAAAATATTTTCTCTATCTATATGTTGAGATAACTGTGTGTCGTCTCATTGTACAGTATACTTCCTACTGCCGCATCCAAATATGATTTAATTCAGTCCAATTTATTAACATTTAAAAAATTTAATTTGTCACGGATTTCGTATTCCGCCTGTTCATTTTATTGCACGGTTAATTATTGCTTTGCTCAAGCTTCTCAAGTCATGAAAATTATACGCTTACACATTCTTAAATTTGTGCATATTCTTTTTCTCTCAATGTTCAAGTCGAAATGTCAAAGGCACCAGGCGTGTTTCACGGATGGAATAAGAAAATAAACTTCGAGAATACTGACCATTCAACAAAATATTTTCATTCTATGAAAAGCGATTAACATCTCGTAGATCGTATAAAGTAGTCAAAGCCAGACATTCGATAATAATGCGCATATGCAAAGACTGTGTCCTTATGAAAGTATTTCATTTCACATAGAAAAGCACGTGCGGTGACACGTGAAAGCTATTAAATAATGCAAAGAAATTGATCTCTGATAAAGAGAAGATTGAATTTGGAGCAGCAGGTGGCCCGTGGCACGACTATAGTGACGTGACATGAGCATGAGAAGCTATTTGAAGCCGAGAAATTAGACGATTTATCGATTTACATAATCTTAAGTGCAATAGCGAACAAAAAAAAAAAGATTCTGAAAAAGGTGGTTCTGTTGTGAGATTCTCTAAAGCTGAGATAGCAACCGGAATGTGAGGCAGAGATGCGATTTGCATCACGGGTTCAAAATCAAATGTTTACAGGGAAGGAAAACATCGGCTTTTGATGTAACTGATTTTATCTCATAAGATCGACGACGTTCTTCCCCCAGATGAGGTTGTTTTTGTGCCTGCCGCCTTCAAGTTACGTACAAAATTACGTTTATCGAAATATAGTGAACTGCTTGCAATGTAAGAGGAGTAAAGTAATAAACAAATTACCTTCTGCTATGCAGTTAGTTCTCGATTCCAGCGCATACTGGTAAGTGGTAAGGCTCCAAGTTTTCGTGCGATTCGAAACTCGTTCACGGCCGCAAGTTTTCAATAAGGAAACTTTACCGTAGGCTTAGGTTGAGTACTACTGCAGAAAAAAGAGACGACATGCAAATACGAGGCCAGAGCACTCACATGCAACGGCTTAGTTTGAAATTATTATGAAGGAGAAGCAATTGGTTCAATTTCTTCAACAATTATGATTTGTGAAAGCATAGTTCGGAAACTTATATTATGTCTACAAATTTTTTATTTGACTTTTGAGCTATTTTTTACTTTATTATCCCTCTGCGATTGATCAGATCAATATATGCGCCTGTCAGAATAATATTTGTCATTGCACTTTTCAAAATATATTATATTTTCTGATATGTATGAAGAGATGTATTTGATGAAGAAAACAACAGATGTTACTTCACGCAGCACGCGATAATCAGCCCCAGCATTCAGCTTTTAAGATTAGTAGTTCACATCTCGAAGAGTTGCCGGGGTGAATGCAGCTTGCTCGTCTCGCTGGAGTAATACGTGAAATACAGCTCACTCTCTCCTTGCCAACAGAAACGAAAAACATAGAAATGTAAGTTAATCAAAAGCTTAATATGGTTTGGCCATTTTAGAGATATGTTTGTATGTACAAAACAGTAAAAAATTTCGTAATATTCCATGTTTCCACGTAACATTGCGAAGGTTGTTTTTGTGTGGTGGTGTATTTTAAGCAGGATGATTTACGGTAAATTCCAAAAGCGGTGTAAATCTTCTTCAATATTTGGTTAAGACAGACAAAAAATTATCATGATTGTACAACAACCTTGATCAATACACTGTGGGTAACTTACACCAATTTGTTTTAACGTACGCCGTTTCGCTATTGCACCTACATGTAAACAAGTACGTATAACAGTTAGAATCTCTATAATCGTTTTTTTTTTTCAACTCATTAATGTTACGTTTAGGTGTCAGGTGGTGGGCGAATTTAACTCTCCCAGCCTATTTTCTTGCATAAGTTATATTTATAGTAAAAGTTTAATAAAAATGAATTTTTAACTTGCACACGAATGTTTATTTTAGTATACTATCAAATTTTTTTATTTTCATTCATTCTTCAAAGAAAATTATTTCGAGGTACGACTTCGCTATGTTGTTGAGGATGAAAGTGAGGTTGTGTCGATACATGTGAGAAAATGGCGATTGATTTCATATTTATGAACTTTTCATCGGTGGCGTTATTGAAGAAAAAGTTGATTATTTAGAATGAGATTTATTTTCGAATTTAAACCTATTTGTGAGAAGTGGACATGTAACTGAGAGCTGCAAAATATAACATCAATGACAATTATAACCATGTTGCTACTGTTGAGATCATAACCATTACCAATCTTTTGGGTCTATTTCTTTCCTAATTTTATTCAATTGTATAAAAATATTTTTTTGTCTCCTCCAAACCGCTCATTCTTCTGACGGCAGCTACATTTCAAAACGTTGCAACGTTGCATCATTGCATGTGGTTTTGCTCACATGTGTGTGTGAGTCTGTGAGATGAGTGCCAAATCAGACTGGACTTCAGTGCGCACCGGCGTGCCGCTAGCAAGTGTACTCGTACCTGTTTCGTCCGTTGCATTTAAGAACGATCTGCCAGAAGCTGTGTCTAGTGTGTACTCGATGTGTGCTGACGACACAAAAGTTTATAATACAGTTAAGAATACGTCACAAAGAGTAGAGTTGCAAGGTGATCTTGACAAGTTTATTGACTGGTCTGACACGTGGCAGCTGCGTTTTAATGCTGACAAGTGTAAAGTAATCCACCTTGCAAGAAAAATTAACAGCAAGATCAAAGTATGAGAAGACACGGTTGCAACGACAGAGTGATGATGTCGAAGTCGTCAATGGTAAAAGAATGTTTGTTTGTCGCTGTCGTACGTCTGAATCTAGAGTTTGGAAAAGCCATGTGGTCACCAAAACTTGAAAAGGACGAAAATTTAGTCCAGAGCGTTCAACGACGTGCAACAAGGATAATTCCGGGATTTAAAAGGCAGGCCTTATGAAGAAATATTAAAGACCATGAAACATCCAAGCCTCTGTTATCGACGTCTACGAGGTGACCTCATTGAAGTAGGTATACAAGTATACCCACGGTTTATACAAGGTCCGAGAAGGAGTCGTAGAATTTGAAACAAGCACCAAAACCGGGAGCCACGGCTATAAACTAAAAAAACTGCTTTTTGACACATCCATGATACAACATTTCTTCTCGCTTCGAATCACCGACATGTGGAACAGCCTCTCTGATAGCATCGTTGACGTTCCGAGTAAATCGAGTCACGAAAAGTACAAGAATCGGCAACAGGGCCTATTCTTGGGAAGAGCGAAGAAATAGGCCTTGAACCTATTTCTTAGGAGCCGACACTTTTATTCTATTCTAGTCTATTTCATTCTATTCTAAGTAAAATGTCTTATGACATTTAGTGATGCCTGCAATCTTAATATTTAGCGGAGACGATTATCGAAGAATTATCACAGCAATACTAAATACAAATATTATTTTTCATGGATTGCCTTAAGTTTTTTACTTACGCACGCAGAGTTGCTGCTTGACATTCACGAGCGAACTTTACGAATTTTGCGAGCAAACGGTGAGTTCATTTCCTGTATCTTTTGTTGGATACTTGCAATTAATTTCTAATTTTTTCAATGTAAAATTTATTGTGTTTATTTATAATATTTAAATTAACAAAGTTTATCATTGCGACTTTAGAAATTGTAATTTCAAGCCTCGGTCAATTATTCTGCCTAAATCATAACCTTTATTTATTATTCTGCNTCTGTTATCCATTCTGCCGTGTTTATCCAGTATCGGACGAGGTGGATATGGGCCTGGCTATTCCCCCTGGGACCCCCACCAACCCATGCGAGGTTCCGGGCTCCGACTACTGCGTGGAGTACGTGGGCGAGGCGCAGCTCTCCATCACGACGGACGGTCACTGTCAGGAGGTCTCGTGGGTCGCGTCAGGCGCCACCGAGCTCAAGGACTGCGTCATTCTAAAGGGCCATTGGTGGGCTTAATTTATGTTGCTTAAGAAATTTGGGCAATGAATTTTATTTTAGATAATATCTTCGTTTTATATTTGCTAATTCTTACATCTCGGACTAAGACGAACGAGTTTTTCGACTCCAACGTTTCATCGTGCTTGAACGTTGAACATTTTTCTCAAAATCGCTGCCACCTATGAAAATTCTAACATCAAAGAATGTATTGGATTATGATGGTTGATAATATGTTCAAATCTATATGCTGTTTCAGCGTAATTATGGACTAATGAGATACGTGCAGGATATCATGAAGCCTTTTGCTGCACAGGTACGGGGGAGGTGAGCAGTTCACCCAACCCTGGCCCATCGAGCAGAAGCCCCGGCCTGAGACAGCTTACGTGACGGCCGACATGTTGCAGCGCTCCAACCAGTGGTACGGCGGTGTCACTGAGGCTTACTGGATATCTTCGCAGGGACTCGCTGTATATGTGAGCAATTTATTTTATGTGATAGTATCGACACACTCCATAGCTGACTTTGCTAAGCTTAAAGTTAGGTCATTTGGTTTATCAGAAGGTTCCCACGTTTATGTCTAATTTTTTTAAATAAGAAGCTAAGTTTGTGTTACAGGTCCAATAATTTTTTTGAGATAGTAAGTAAATATTGAACTAATTTAATTTGAACTCAGGTGCCAGATGAGGTACCACTGTTCCTGAGCCTCGTGGACGCGGACGCTGACGGTGTTGCTGACGAGATGTGCTTCTCCGCCAGACATGAAGTGCCGTTTGCTGACCGCGACAGCGCCCTGATACTGCGCTACTCCGTTTGCTCTGCAGATGACGTCAGACAGGTGATAGCTTCGTCAATCCGGAGTTACGCGTTTTTTTCGTGTCAACAATTGCTGTACAAAAAAATAACGACTTTGAAGTCCTTCAAAAAACTTTGCATTGAGCACCAGAATAAAATTATTGAATAGTCATTGGAGATTTACGTACTAGAATTATTTTTTGATATCGGAGAAATATGGAGCCTGAAAACCGGTGAATGTATTCGCAAAATCTGATCGAACATTGTTGCTAAAGACGATATTTGTTGCTAAGGTGGGCAGTGACATACCTACGATACGAAACAACCAGATAGCTGTGGTCCTTCTGATTGATCGAATTACAACAGTTGTAGCCCCACCATTAAATATAAATTAATTTTGCTGATTTACATTCATTTATTCTTATCCAGTGACCGCCACGATGTTCCAGGTACACGAAGCAACACTACCGAAGTTCTATTCATTTCCCTCTGGAATTCCTGATGAAAAGATGATGAGGGATACGGTGTGGACCACCTGGGCCGAGTACAAAACTGAAATTAATGACTCGCGCGTTCTCGCCTTGGCGTACAATGTTATTGAGAAAGGATACCCATACAGCCAGGTTATTAATTACGATGCGAGGCATGACATTATATCCTAAGCATAAGCACAAATTTCAAGATACATGTACCTCTTCAGAGACCTGATATTAATTAGGTAAAGATTACCAAATATAAAGGTTAAATAATTGTAACCATTTAAAAAAAAGGCTTTGGCGTGAGATTGGAACAAGTCTTAGTTTATTCTCTCTATTGAGAGATCAATGTCAGATTGTGTTCAAAGCAATATTGAATGACTAATAAAAAAAAGGAATGTATGACTCATGCTTGGTCTTTTATCGATTAGGTTGAGATTTCTAACAATGATGGTTTTCTGTGACGTCGCCAATGACATAACCTAATTAATTTTTAGATCGAGATCGATGACAACTGGGAGACTTGCTACGGAAACGCAGAGTTCAACACCGACAGATTCTCCGACGCTAAGGCCATGGTTGACGAGCTACACGTGAGTCCCCTTTACTCTTGAAGTTGTATCACGTGTGTTTCACGATGTAGAATTTCTCCTCGCCTCAACATATTTATGATATTTTACTTGAAAGAAATCTATTGGAAAGGCTAGTAGAAATTGTTAATTGTTGTGTTCAGAAAATTATTCGGCTCACAGGCACTTGGATTCCGAGTGACGCTCTGGATCCATCCCTTTATTAACGACGACTGCGAGGCCTTTGCTTACGCCGATGCGCGAGGCTACTTCGTCAAGGTATTCCTAGCGCCCTCATTATTTACTAAACCTCTAAGCATATTAATGTTGTAAGATTTGAATATTTTCAGAACTAAAAATTATCGTGCTTGTAATCATTCGCAATCTTCCTATGGTATCAGCACTTATAAATTTATTAAGGAACTATTCTTCATTATTCTACATAAAAGACAACCTTTTGAACATTTAGTGCCCAAATTATGATCAATCATGAACCCAGGCTTCCAGGTGCACTGTCGTTATTTGGTTTGAATGATCTATCTCAAGGAACCTAGGGCATGAAACATATCGTATGTTATAATCTTAGTACATCATATAGTATTCATCACTTCAGTATAGTGGTATATCAAACCACTCAAAATCCTAATTATTTCAATACTGTACGCTAATAACGGTATCTGCCGTACAGGCAGCTGATGGAGTCACTCAACTGACGAGCTGGTGGCAAGGGAACTCGGCTGGCATTGTGGACTTCACTAATACGGAGGCCGTGTCGTGGTGGACTGGTCGCCTGCGAGACATCCAGGCCACGACGGGCATGGATGGCTTCAAGTTCGACGCTGGTGAGACCAGCTGGCTTCCTGACGTCTTCACTCTCAACGCTCCTGTCGAGAAATGGCCTAACGTCTACACCACCAGGTACCTTCAGGAGGAAAGCTATAGACTCCTGCTACCAATCCTTTCTTTCTTTTTTTCTCTCTTTATTTTTTTTTACTTCTTTATTTCTTTCTTTTCTTCTCTCTCTTTCTTTGCAGGGTGGCCATACTGGATGAATTTGAAGCCTCTAGTATGCCAGAAGGATGGTTCCAAGTCACAGAGAGTTATTAGTCAACTTTTGGTCTGAAACGCTGTTTTCCCATGGTAGTTGACTAGTTGTATCGACTTCGGTTGCCGAAAACTTCTCGAATTGGCAAAAGTCGCTTATACAAACACATAAAAAGACACTAAGCTAATCGCATAACGATTTCAAATCCTGCTCTGCATTATATTTTCCAGTTTACTACTCGAAAGCAGATCCATTGTAACTCTTGTCGAACAAATTTCTTCTTCTTCGAATACTTCTTTGTACCATAAACTTTAATGAAGATTAAATGTTAATGTTCCATGAAACCGACAGAATACGGTTAAGATCTCAATCATTCCCATTAAGTGAATTAAGCTGGATCAAGATTTGGTCATCAGCTCAATTACTTTTACTGAAATTTTAATTAATGGTATTATAATTTTTATTTTAAAATGCATCGTTGACGTCCAGTTATGTGGACGTTGTGTCGTCGTTTGGGGGCTTAACGGAGGTGCGGTCAGGCCGTCACAACCAGGCCGCCCCAATCTTCTTCAGAATGCTGGACAAGAACTCCAACTTCCAGAACCTCAACGGACTCAAGACGCTCATACCTACTCTCCTGCATTTCGGTAAGAACCTGACATTATTTCGTCTGTGACTTAGAGACTAGTAGAGTGTATGTATTTTAATTAAACAAAACCCTCAAAATATTTGAAATTTTTTAATTAAATTCCGATAATTTAGAGATTTTTTGTCAAAGACTTTATTCGTGGAATAACCAACTAAATATACTAGATGGAATCACCACTGAACTCTATGTCACCACTATGATTATAATTTTTAAGTTTCCTGCTAAATGCAGTGGAATGTCTATATTACTGGCGTTACACATTTATTTCTGTAATTTATTTCGAAAATTCAATAGGGATCCTGGGTTACCCTTATGTGCTTCCCGACATGATCGGAGGGAACGCTTACGGCGGCCAGCCCAGTGACGAGCTCTTCGTTCGCTGGACGCAAGCGAACTCCCTCATGCCGGTTCTCCAGTTCTCGCTCTTGCCCTGGAGATTTGGGAGCATTGTCAGTTACTTTAATTCACTAGTTGACACAATCTGCTAATTGTTTTTAATGAAGTATAATGTGTTTTAGGGAGTTTGCTAATGGGCTCTGATGATTTCTTCGTTGGTTGATAAATATTCAGTCGTAACTTTTTTCGTGCAGGCCGAAGAGGTGGCCTTGAACGTATCTCGCCTACACGTCGAGTTGACACCGCAACTTCTACGCGTAAGATATCAATATAAACAGAAGATATGAACTTATTTTAGGGTAGCTCAAAAGTCTAATGTTCGAAAATCCTTATCATTTTCCAATGAAAACGTGAATTTTTTATACTGTTCCAGGCAGCACAAGAAGCGACCGTTTCTGGCGCTCCCATCAACAGGCCGACGTGGTGGCTCTGCCCTCTGGACGAGGCTTGCCTTATCGCCGATCAACGTCAGTTTTGTTTGTCTAAAAAATGTGTAGTTTCGTTGTATTTATTGTTATATGCTGCGTGCAGCTTTTTACACCTATATTGTAGTTTATTTATCCTTTGGTATCTTTTAATATTCATAGTAATTACTCTCAGTTTTTATACCTGCGACAGAGTACCTCCTGGGCGACGATATCGTGGTTGCGCCGATCACCGAGGAAGGGGCGACAGAGAAGGAGGTGGTGCTGCCACCTGGTGACTGGGTGGCCAACGTCGACGGTGCGACCTACACTGGGCCCGCCACTGTCCTCTTCACTGGAGTAACTCTCGACAAGTTTGTCTACCTCACCAGGGCGTGAGAGTAACGTAGGCTTCGAGACGCTCAGATCAAGATCAACCATACGCAGTGGCATGAAATTTTTGACACTAGAAGATTTTTCAAATATGGTTTCAAAATAAATAAACCTCGTCTTTAGCTGAATTTTTTTTTAAAACCTAATTTATGTCAATGTATTGCATGCACATGTACTTTTTCATGTACATGAACATTTTCAGCGTAAGGATGCGTGTTCTTCTGGAAGCGGCTCGTTATGCGTCAACTGTCCATTAATTTCAAATGTGCTAGAGCGCAGTTAATTAACGAATAAGCTTCGCACCAACTTATTCCTTTCGCCGACAGCTTTTTTTGATTTTCCGCATCATATAGATCATGGAAGCTGCACCTTTTGAGAATTTTTGCTCCAAATTTTCGTTCTTTTATGACAGCATAAATCGATGCAATAACTTGAAAGAGAGAGAGAGAGATATATAGAAGGCAAACTCGTAATAAAACAAACGGTTCTTTTGACGTTTTATTAAGCAATACTAGAATCTCCTACAAAGCGAACGGTACGAACGTATACCTAGTCAGCTGCAGTCAATCATTGCTCATGTTCCAACCAAATAACACGAAATTTTACCTCGAGGAAACATACATCTAAAATTTAGCTGGTCATGAATATTCCAGAACACACACACAGCGTCAGAGTTCATTACACTGACTGTGGCCGCGAGGACCTAAAACATTCAGCAGCGTACAGAACTAGGCGACTTCCTAACAGATAATTGTGTCATTTGTTGCTGAACAGATTATTGACGCATCTGTTGCTGCATCATGTTCTTCTTCTATGGACGTTTTTAAAAAATAGCGAGTTATAACATCTATCAAGTTGGAGTGACAAAATTCGACAAGAAGTTTATATCGTGCCGACATTAGTCGTTCACCGCAAAAGAGATGCAGTTTTATTTTTATTTTTTCACCACAGAGACTACAACGGAAATGTCAGGGTCAAAATATGGCAGTGTATATTCGGGACTAAACGAGTACCATTGGGAAATGCAAACGCCCATCAAACAAGTTGAAATTATAATACGAAAAAATACATGCTGAAGTAAGTTGAAATTTTCCCATCGATATGGACGTTGAGTTTTTGCTGAGAAAAGCCCCACAAGCTGCACGTAAAGTATACAAGTAGGAAAGGTTTTCATGCATGCGACGGCCTCGCTATAAATATGAACCTCAGATGATTCAACACCTGAAATAAAAGGATTTGCGTAAATTACTTCAATAAAGCAAGAGGGCTCCTTGTGTAACTCTATATTATTCCCATACATGAATATCGGGCTGCAACACCACTATATTTACGGTACAATCTTACTTTTTGGCGATTTAAAATTCTTAATCGTCATACAAAAAATTTTGATAGAATACTGGCTGACCGATAAATGGATCAGTCTCCACACACTTTCATAACTCGTTTAGTAGGCTTCATCATTATCACTCGCAAACGATAGAACTTCAACCGCAATTTTAGTATGAACAATCACAATCCTCACCCATGCACGGTATGCACAGACTCGTCATTCTCGCAATTGTTGTTTAGCACTTAAATGGACCAATTTCCTGGCTCAGCTCACCATCATTCTTGAGAATAGCCAAGCGACTTTTAACTTGTCTCTACAGCTATGACCAGAACGCTACGGTCACTGCATCAACGCTAACCAACAAGTCACGCTACTTCCAATCTACACTTCTTCATCTATTTCATCAATCAACAGTAAGCATCAATAACAATTAAGGCATCAAGCGATTTATTTAGCATGCATAAGGATATCTTAAATCCTTAATTGTCAGAAACTTCAACAAGGACAATAAGGTTCCTAAAGGTTAAAGCGACTAATTTCTCAATCATTTCGATCTGTCAAGTTAACATAAAGAATAGATCTAGGTGTAATTTCATGAGTTGAATATGCGCTGATATGCACGCACGCTTCAAATTATAAGGCAAACTAAAGCTTCAATCTGACAAGCGCATCTAGATTGCGGCTATTCAATTTATCGAACAGTTCAATGCGTTCTAATTTCACATGGCTGTGTATTGATGTCAGAAATTCTTACAATGTAACTGTCTCTTTATGGAAACAGTATATAAAAAATATCAAAACATAATTCACAGTTTGGAAACATCAGCGAGTTCGCCATCGCGAAAATAACAGAAAAATTCTGTCTGCCAAAAAAGTCAACTATGTTCGTCATTTGTTAACGTGTCCTTACAACTAAGTATTACAACTTTATCAACAGATATATTAACCATCGTCAATGATATTCGTACCTAAAGGTTAATGTAACCAATACGAAAGGGTTATTACAGGATTGGTTCATTTGATTCTAAATTGTATTCATGGGCACCGCGATGCGATCAATCCAGCATCACATGACTTGGATTCAACCGCGGTTGAGGTCCATAGTTTGGCCGGATCATCAGTGTTGTACATGGACGATTTATTACAACAAAAATATTACAAATAATAAACTCATGTATTTTGCGACATGCTATTTTGGTATTGAACATTATTTATTATGATATAAAACATTTAAAGCAGAGGTAAAACCTAAATTTCAACGAAAGCTTCTTATCACGAAAAATTTAAGACAACGGCCAGCGGCAGCAGTTTGTTTTGAGAGAGGGAAAAGATTTTGTGATTACAATTGGTTTATACCGAGCCTCTTAGTATTGATGTTAAGAGAAAGCCAATATTAAGGCTGCTGGCAAAGAATAACTTATAAATATTTGTGGCGTTTGTAAGAATAATAGTACTAATGTAATAGCCATAGGTATAAAGCTAAAATAAGTACAACAAAAAAAACACTAAGCATAAGCAAATAACAAAACTATTAATGATCACTAAGGTAATTGCACTAGGAAAATCCAAGTACGCAGGCACTAAGCGGAACTAAGTTCAGGCACTGGGCGTAACTAAACATACATACACGTTAAAGCCCATAAAGCGAAACTTAGTACGAGCCCGTAAGCAAAACTAAGTATTAGAAGTAAGCCTAATTAAATATGAGCAGTAAGCGTAATTAGGTATGGGTACTAAGCACAACCAAACACAACCATACGCATCTGGTACAACCAAAAGTAGAAACAGGCACGAGGAAAAAGTAGACAAATTTGGCCGGAAATTCAGTGGACATGACAAACTCCGAGTCGCTAAGAGACGCAGCAAATGCGTCTACTGACATGCACAGCGTAAAATAGGGCCCATGAGCAGCGCTCGAATGGGAGAACCTTTCATACTGGCACCATGAGATACCTAAATAATATTGCCCCTTATAAATAATAATATCGAGCCAAGCTCGTCATAACTGCCCAATTTGTTTGTTTGTAAAGTTCAGTGGTTGAATATTAGTAGAAAATAAACGAAATCTATTAAAATTTCACAGGGACAAAAACATCTAAAGTGAAATTTAAGAATGAAAAAGATCAAGACACGACACGTCCCACCATTCTTCCATGTGAAGCTATTTAAGTACCGTAGTTCCTGAAATAGTGATTATTATATATTATACGCTTTTTTAAGTTCATCTCTATACATTCATACAATTTACACTAAAAAACAATTCCATAAGTTCACGAAATGAGCTTTCAGCGGACGAAATGAAGCTTACGATGAAAAATTTAGCTAAATATAATCAATAGATTCAGCGTCACACTATCCATAGACGTGATAATTACATGGACACATGTTAATGAACATTCATTTTCTTCACTCCCTGAGCAAGGCTACTCCATTAATGAATGAGATAAACAGGCTCGAACAAATATACAAAACGCAGACCTACCAGAATAAATAAATAGGTATCCCGGTCAACGAAAAAAACATATCACAGGTTAAATTCAAATATATCCACAATATAAGATCGATAAGTGCATATGTAATATCAAACAAGTTTCAGATTATCCTCACTTAAGATAATTCAACGAAGCTAAACTCTTAAAGCAAACTAAGATAGTCAGGGGAAAACTTTATTGATTTGAAATCAAGTGCGATGACGCTTGAACATCTCTGGCTAACTAAATATCAAATTAATGCCGTACTTAAATACTTGTTTTAAATGTGGTACAAAAATCCAGGGCATCATCTGCTTGAGAAATAGCGTAGAGAATCCGCAATGCGGCAATCTTTGCCGACGTATATTAAAAATAGCCTTCATATTTGTTTTGAAGGCTCGTATCAGTAATACTGATAACACAACCCGAGAGTTACTAGAGAACACACTACTCGTTACAAGTGACAGTTAGAAAACGTTCATAGCAAAATAGAGAACATCAATGAAGTGGAAACCAACGTAGCTCAGAATAAAATCGGATAGTTTTCAATAAGGAACTCACTGCTGCCTGGAGCAGAAGATTCTAGTTTTGGAGACACTCAAAAATTAGGACAATCATAATTTGAACATTAAAAAAATGCTATAAGATTTACATCGTTTCTGCCCGTCGGTAAGAACACGGGGCCAGAACGTAATGAGATTTAAAACGGCGCATAACGCAATGTAAATCACCATACAAAAGTCGTCCCATAAAAATTAAAAGCTCGAATAAAAATCCGTGCAATGACAATACCTAAGATGAAAAGTATCAACCGAAACACAGTAAAAAAAAGAATTACTATTGAAATTAGTTGTTGTTAAGGTAGAAGATTTATCGTCAATCAATCTTTGCGATCTGGAAATAGGATGTTACTAAGAGGTGATGGATTAGACGGTGTCAGAGGGTGCTGGTTGACGAGCACGCTGCAGGAGTCTGGGGGCGGAGGTCATGATGGCGATGGCCCCGATGGGCGCCGTGATCAAGATCACCAGCACAGCGATGGTCAGCACCTGCAGCACCGTCATGGTAGTTAATGAAATTAAACCACAACTTGTTTGAGATTCGAATGACGACGAAACTACATTATCCGAAACTTTGATACCAGCTGTAAAGATCATGACCAGCTTTACTATAGTTCAAATGCATCTCTAGCTAATTGATCATAAAAAAAATGTCGTGTCACTTACAACGAGCATAGCATGAGAGCTGAACTAATATCATAAAAAATAGCACTAACATTGGATGAAAACTGTTTATCAGACAAAGAACTAATAACACGTAGGATGACCACAGTTCATTACCAACAGAAATGGAGAAGATATGAAATTTTTGAAATTGTAGCTCCTAAATAAATATTCTTCAACCCGAACTTTATGGGCTAGTAAATTTCTAATCAATGATTCTACTGTCTCAAACACAGCAGGATTCTGGTATCTGTGTCGGGATCCTGGTATCTGGGGCCCAGTGGTATCCTGGATACAGTGACGGACTTAAAGTACAGTACCTGCTTGGCAAGAGCGATCTCAGGTTCACCAGCCCCGATTCGCACGGCGTAGTCCAACGCTGTTGAGCCGATCGCAGCCTGGGGGAAAATAATGTAGTGAGAACATTTCAGACTGAAAAATTAATTTTCGGATATGACTTTATTGCAATCCATGTCAGCGCAGTTTGATTTGTAGCTTTAGCGGACCATTCTAATAAATAAAACTCGAAAAACTCTACACAGCGAAGGAAAAAATTTTTCATTCAAGAAATACATAACGTTTCAAGTCAAGAACCTGGACAGTAGCTTTCGGTAGCCAGGCGAGGGCGACGAAGAATCGCTCCCTGATGTTCAGGCCGCTGCCGAGCACCACGAAGAAGGTCGTCACCACGCGACACGTCAAAACCTGGACAGTAGCTTTTGGTAGCCAGGCGAGGGCGACGAAGAATCGCTCCCTGATGTTCAGGCCGCTGCCGAGCACCACGAAGAAGGTCGTCACCACGCGACACGTCAGGCTGATGCACAGCGTCGCCACCCCCAGCCCTATGGTGTCCAGCTCCAGACTCAGAATCTGCACACAGTGATCGACCATTCTTAGCGTTTATACGTGGGATTGAGAGTAAGACAAAATCATACAAGATAAAAAAAAGTTGTGAGGCAACTGCATGCCATGCGTCCTATTAATTCAACGTCAATTGTTGTTGAACAACACAGCGAAATGGAGTTGACTACGTCCCTCAAAAAATAAATACGTGGCGGTAGATTCTCATGGGCACGTGTTACCCTAAGCAACGAGTAAAACCCTAAACAACTGGTGACCGATGGCAGCATTATTCATGAGTGCCAAGACGTGCTTCACTCTCGCAAGCTGAAGCTGTCATCCTGGACAGCTTTGCCTCTGAAGCTGATGGCTGTTATTACCTCTCTTAACGACTCTTATCTCTGCATTGCCAATTTCAACATTCCTCGGGCAACCTCTTGCCGCCCGGACTACTCCTCCGGCCTGGGGAGCGCCTTCTACATCACAGATGATTGCCTAATCATGACAACTTTAATTCCCATTATCGTCAATGACACAAGACTCGCCATTTGGCAGATAACTCGTCGCACCTCAATGAAAACCGTACAATACTAGTCAGAACAACAATTTGTATGGGTCGATTACCACCTAACAACTAAGAAGCAGTTTCAATCTCGCTTTAAGTTATCGTTCAGTTATGTTTATAAATAGATCTTTTCTATTGAAAGCGGGTAGCGTACATATGGCGACGACTAAAGTGGCTTTGATGTTGCATCTCTTGGTAGTCGTTCACGGTTGGTCAGAGGCACCTCAAGAACGAAAATCACTGTCCTCTGCAGAAGCATCATCTATACAATCTTGAAGAACACAGCCTTCATAAACCGCCTCCAACAAGATTTACGATTCTATTTTGGTTTTCCCATCTTCTTCAGTTAATCTACCGTCTTCCAGATGGCTTAATTCAGCCGCGACTTCGCAAGTAAATGTCAGCGCCTAATCACAAAAAAACTGCTTTATAATTAAATCGAATGAAATTACAATCACAAGCGCCATATAACCTAAAACTTAAGTTCAATCAAAATTATAATTTCATGAAATAATTATTGCACGTTTTTGGAGCTAAGTTTTGTAGCCTTGCTAGCGCACAACTAAATTGAAATAGTCTTGGTTCGCGCACAACTATTAAAGTTATTCACTTGTATCTCCGTGCCGATGAGGGCAAACAGCATGGGCTGGAGGTAGCCCCAGGCGACGTTGCAGTGCTGCCCCACGGGGTTGTCGTCATCGCCCCAGCCCTGCCGCCTGAACCCCACGCCCGCAATGAACGCCATGCTTAGCACCGCCAGCGCTCCAGCGCCGCCGAATTCGATCTAAAACCAAGAAAAATCCAATAAGATTTACCTGGAAAGCCTGTGTCGCAGTCAATCGGTTTATTAAGGTCTTAGAGCATCAGTTTTATCTCGATGCTGGTTTGCTGAAATAAGTTATTACACCACATTTTATGGCACCCCCATAAAAACTGCACTAACCCTCTGACTGCCGAAGAGAGCCAAGAGCCCGGCTGTGAAAAGCATCGCGAACTGAAGCAACGAGCAGCTCTGGTGGTGTTTGTTAGGCAGGATCCAGCAGATGAAGCCCATCACGGCCCCGTAGGACAAGCCTATCAACACTTCGAGAGGCCCATGCAGAATTTGCCACGCCAGCGATCCTGGTAAAGAATGAATGAGAATATTTGGGAAAAGGAAAAATAAGGCCGAGAGACATACTAGAGTATTTTCCAAGCATACGTGTGCTTGAGACATCTTTAATCTCGCCTTTAATTAAAGCTACTCGATTTGAATGAAAGTCACTTTTTCTTACTGCAAGTCACAGGTTTTTTTTAAAGTAAGCACTATCAGAAAATCCACTCACCTTCAGAGAAAGTCATGCCGAGCATCACGCCAAAGCCTGAGATGGCGATAACATCGTCGATGCTGGCGGCAGCGATGACGAGGGTGGGGATGCCCTTGTCGACGCCGTAGCCCTGCTGCGACAACTGCAGCAGGCACGGCACCACCACCGCCGGCGACACCGCCGCTAAAATAAACCTAAAACAGAGTAAAATGTTATTAAAAATAAAGAATAAGTACCTACTCCACTGCAGCAGCAGTACAGTTGGTTCTCAACTATTACATTCATTGAAACGGTCCTAGAACTAAACTATGTCTTAGTAATCGGTCATAACACTAGTGAATCGAATTGTTAAAACAGTTTATTAATGAAATGCAAATTAGAGCCAATTTAATTTATTCAGAAAAGAAGAGATGATAAATAATTCTCCTAATGACAAGACAAGAACAATGTGATCAAAGTGTATTTAAGTGTATTTCATCAATAATTTCACTGAGGAATTATTGATTGCGTAGTACTGGAAAATTATCACTTTCAAATACAATTCAGCAACGAAATTGGTGATGCTTCTGCTTGACGCGCAGAAGTTGATACAATATGAAATGCATAATAGGTGTACAGTGAATCCCTGACATTATTATCATGTATCATAATACAAATCATTTACACATCAGGTTCTCTTACATATGCCATAGCTAGGCATTATACCAAAGAATGAAGCCCCATAACTTTAATCACGGTCCTGCACGCGTCACACAGTAGGGACAACATATCAGCATCATACCCAAGCATGAAGCCCCAAAGCCAAGGGAAGCCGAGGAGGAAGTGCGAGACGACAGCGACGACCGTGGTCTCGACGAGGCAGGGCACACAGGCGAGTCTGAAGACCACGAGCGACATGGCCTTGAGTGCTTTAGGGTCCAGGCCCAGACCGGCCCGAAGCAGGATCACCACCAGCGCTACGTTCCTGAGACATGAGAGGAGTTTTCATCAACACGTTCCGGAAGAAAAAACAAGCAACAACTGTAATTAAATGAAAACCGATTTTGCCAACCATTTTCAAACGAGAATGTGAGATACAAGTCAAAACATGAGAAATAGGCAAGGAAATATGACTTCACGGGTCGAATGTCATCAATAAGAGAACTATCTTCTTCACGCATCACACATAAATTAAACGTAGGAGAGGTAGAAGGCAAAGCTTATAACCAACCAATTGCTTACAAACGTGCATCAAATAGGAGGAAAACATGAGAAAAGCTTATAGCCTTAGGTCATGTAATCTGTTGATATTTTGGCTCCTGAAATACACTCAGATATAAAAATAGTCTCGCGCAACATAATAAACATAGGCTGGAAATTTAAAAATTATTATTAATATTAAACAAGTTTAAATGAGATTTAAACAACATAGTAGTCTCACTTAAAATAATAAACAAAGGCTGGAAATTGAAAATTACTAATAATATTAAACAAGTTTAAAGAGCAGTTAGACAAGACTTGATCAATAAGACAACAAGAGACCTGAACCCCAAGCCTAACCTGATGGAGGCGGACCAGTTGGGATTGAGACTCTCCCCAATGATCCTGATCCCCGGGAAGCTCCTCAGCGCTATCCCCGACAGCAGCATCCCGAGCAGAGGAGGTAACCCGCAAGCCTGCAAAGTTGGTAACAAATAAAAGCTTTCCCTAATTCAAGTGATCACAACATGTTGGATAAACATTGTCTGGCATGAGATAAAAGAAGCCAGTAATTCATAACAGGGGAGGCAAACATTTCAGTAAAAATGCTTTCACTCATATGGTACTTTGATCGTGAGCACGGGGCCTCATTTTGCATGCATACAAATAGTCTATGAAAGGGCCTGAGTATTTATTATTGCAACAATAATTAGGTAATCAGTGTGCCTTAGCATTGAATACAAACTGTATTACGTACGGTACTGTGGTAATTGCAAGTGACTTGAATAACTGGCAAGTCTTTCAATAAATATTTTGAATTTAGCCGTAATAGAATGTTAAAGAGTTAACTCCATGCAACGAAAACATGACATGTAGGTCGAATGGTCACAAGACATTCAATAGACACAGCTCCAAACGAAAGCTTTGCGAACGCTTCAACGTATATGACAGTCTGTGTTATTTTTTATATTATTTGATGATACGCACTACTTTCAGCAACATTCCCGGTAAGATGAAATAGTTCAGCGTCAGGTTCATTGCTACGTAACGTCAGCACGACACATCAGCAGTGTTATCACAGTAAAGGTAAATACGCCAGTAATAGGACTGTCACAAGCAATATAAAGCAGCCACTGATTTATAGTGTAAAGGCCTGCGAAAGATGGCACCCACCTTGCCGTGCGGAGGGCAGGTGAAGGCATATTTGAAGCGGTCGCCCTTGGTGGGGGTGGTGGGCAGTGGGTTGTGCTTCTGCATGACTGGTCTGCAGCAGCGGCACTCCTTTAAACACGAGCCGAGGCTGCACAGTCCACGAAGAATTTTGCTCTTACCACCTGCAAGTGTACAGTATGTCAGAGACAAATTGCTATTATTGCTATGTCTAGTTTCAAAATACATTTCTATAACATTCCTTAACTTAAACCGCTGCAACTTTTAAACGTTCTGCTTATTCGTCAATTAATGTTCTTGCATATGATCCCAAAAGGTTCAACAGCAGGCCAAAAATGATACATCAGGTCAACTCCTCCTACTCAGAATTTTTATAACAGTGATATTCAACAGAGGCAACAAAATTTATGCAGCAAAAGTCATTTACAGTACGGTATACTGAGTATTTACCTTTACATTACATGTAGGTATATTAGGTCATACGGTATACACTGACCACTTGCTGTATTGTCGCGACCAGCAGCGGAAGACTCTTCACTCGAGAGTTTCTTCTCGCTTAGCCTGTCCAGAGGATGCTCCTCTTCGATGATGGTGCCTCCTGCACATTAACCACCCCGGGGCATTTAGTATACACCGGCTACCGATTAATTCCCATGTCATTAACTATGCTGTTATTATTTATTTCCAATTTCAAATGGTTTTTCGTTTCGTTGTTTTAATATTAACGCCGAGTTACAGCAGTACCTAACCCACACGTTGGTAGAAATAAAAAAATCAGGTTGACGTTCATGCACCACTCCATTTGTTTCCAATTTGCAAACAAGGACAAAGTGCATGATTCTTTTTCAGTACTGTACATTTAAAGCTTCTTCTTAATAATTCTATCTTAACAGTGAACTCGTTGGGTTGACCGCACCGACAGACAGAAGTTAGTACAGCAAAAATCAGTATCTGGCCCACATTGAAATTATTTTCAAAGCATTAATAATTCAAATTATTGGTAATTCTGATTAACAGAGAGCATAATAAGATATTCGGATTATAAGAGATTCAGATATGAAAAAAGATTATATACGAGGATCTACAAGATGAAAGTTTGTGACATATACTAAGAGGTAAAATCACCAAGTTCAGAAGTTCAAAGCAGGATGGAAATAATCCGACGTAATGTTGAAGTGAATGCCTGAGGTGGCGAAGCCTTATTAAGTTCCTAAACCAAACACTCAGTAGAGAGAAAGTGATGAGGATACGAATTACTTGGAAAGTACTAGCACTTCAGGTATCCAGCGATTTTCCTCACATTCAAAACTATTAATAAGCAATCGTTCTCAATAGAGAAAGGATTGATAAAAAGAGAATAAAGAGAGAAAATAAGTAAATTAGAAACATTTGCCTGGAACATTGGCCGCCATTAAGGAGAAGGAAAGTGAATTGTACCAATACATAAATACCGTGAACCCACAACTGAGACCAATTATCAGTTTCTACGAGCTCTGCTGTGGGTTTTACAAAACAATTCCCCAAGAGACCTCAAACAAATCTTGCAATCAAAGACATGCATCACAACGCGGAAAGGTAAAAGACTAGGACAGAAAGTGAGACCACATGCCATGCCCACCAAGACTGCCTTCAGGAAAAGACCCAATGGGCAAGGTGCCAGCCTCGCTGTAGGTGCCGCGTCTGCTGTCCGTGGCACTTGTGGTGAAGGCGTCGATGGTCGACCCCTCTGTGCTGGCACCTCTGCTGTGACCAACCGTTTGGCCACCGGACACCCAACTGCTGCAGCGGCTGTGACTTGTTGTGCTGACACCGTTCGAGGGGCCGCCGTTAGTACCACAGCACGGACCGTTGTTAGTGTGAGAATTGGTAGGAACATAAGAGGCGGTGGTGTTAGTACTTATGCTAGTACTGGCAGGGTTTTGGGTGATCCCAGTAGTAGGGAAGGCTGTGGAAGAACCTGAACCGCCTGTACTACAAGGGATGTTAGATATGTTTACATTTAAACTGCTGGGTGCTGTATCTAGGCAATTTAGAGAGGAAGGAAGAGCGTTGAGGGACATAGAACCCGATACACCCGATTCAGTGTAGTTGGTATTGCCATTATTGTCGCTGTTATGAACATCAGAAGGACCAATATTATTAGAAGCTCCAACAAGTGCATTGGTTGGTCCAGAGGAAGACAATATCGGGTTAAAATCGGAATTATTCCCGGAAGCGGAAAATTTTTGTGACATCAAGCAGGAGTTAGATGATGGAAAGCTAGATTTGTTGGGTGAAGAATGTGACACCGAAGTGGAAGCTATAGAGGTACCAAAAAGCGCCGTATTTGACGCTTGCATTGGGCGAACGTCTCCTAGATTACCCGTACTCTTGCTCGGACTCTGAGGAGCAGAATCAGACTTGGGCAACTTGGTCACAGAAGGAGGAGTTTCGGCGAGATCTGCAGCAGGGTTATCATACACCCCGCTAGGATTCGGAACCACTGGAGTTGGGACGTGCTCTGTAGGGTCCCCAGAAGGATCTGTGCTGTAAGAAGAGGGTAGTAGGGAGAGGCCCGAGTGCCCTGGGATGTTGGACTGTGAGATGCTGAGGGCGGTGAGGGCGGATGTTGAGGTAGTTGTGCTTAAGCAGTCAGAATTTTCTTCGTCTTCGTCAGCAGCACGAGTGGATGTGTCTTCAGGGTTATGGCCTGTAGAAATATTGAAAATAATTACATTGGCATAAAAATCCTTTACGTACCAATAAAGCACAGATTATCTGCATCGACATTGCCTTACCGAATCTGCGTCTTTTTAAAATTGATACTAATTGATATCTCCATGAAGAAATGAAGCCAGCCTCATAATACAGGACTGAATGAATTTCGGCATACAATCAATACAGTCATGACGCAAGTCAATCTTCGACCAGTTCTTGATGTAGTTAGAGAACAGAAAAAATATCAGGATGCTTTCAATTTGTCTGTATGTGTTAGCTCTCAATATTTAAACGCAAATACCGTAGCTGGCGTGTGATGGCCAATTTGCTAAGAAAAATAAGCGTTTATCAGCATTAAAGCTATCGTTTTGAATATCGCGTTATAGAAATCGGTGCTCCTATTTCAGCAGTGAAGTGACACACACAAAAAGAAGTGACTAGGGTTGTAAGTAACGTAGTACTAATTACAGAAGAAAAATTGGAGTTAATTTCACTAGAACATATTAGTCAAGTCCGAAAATTGATTTCAACGAATACATGGAGAAAAGCAAACTTTCTAAAAAAATCCTATAGCAAAAACAAACTACAAAATTATCTACGAGTATCTCTAAAGAACAATAATTATTTTTCGACTGCAAAGTAAACCTGAGGGAGAAGGTGAGGGCCATATAAGACCCAGATAAAGGGTAGAGGCTGGAATAAAGAATGGGCTAAAATGTCACCTAAGACGTTCAACTTCTGTTTGTTGAGCCTTGTAGTTCCTGACGCACTCGACCTCCGTCAAGGTTGCCCGCACATTCACTCAGAGAAATTAACAACACTGTCCAAATATCAATGCACATTGGCCTTAAGTCTGGATCAAATTGACAAGGAAATTGACCACGGAAAAAGGACGTATTAGTGCTACCCGTAGACAGTGTGTCGCTATTTTGACAATACGACTCATCAATTTTTTTTAGCGTAATAGGTACGTCATTTGAGAGTCATTTCTACAAAACGCACGGCGTCTGACTCCCGACGAAATAGCCTATCACGTCCCCAGGGGCAATGCTAATGACAATAGTGACTTGCACTTACCTTCACATGGACATACAACATCATTTACATGGTTAATTGCACATTGTTCATAGTTTCGATCACAAATAAGTTCTTTCACGTTGCTTAGGCATAAAAAACAAAACTTTATTCAGATGAAACTGCAAATACGATAAATATAAGGAATAAAAGTTCCGACGAATTCTCCAAAATAATAAATATAGATAGACCATCGGTAACGCAGTCTCATGCTCCAGCGAGGTTGTTGCCTCTATGATGATCATGTATAGGGGGTTGAAGATGCAGCATCATTCCTTGCAGGCAAAATCCAGCGTCATCAACTACGAGTTATCAATGGCTACGATTATTTATTAAAATAATTGATTGATTTGAGTTAAAATGCAGCAGCACTCACCGAGAGTATGTTATGTTAGGACGACTGATATCACTGCTCAGCAATTCAGGCCCGATATGCAGTCGGTGCGGTTTAATGACAAAAAATTTAACAAATATTTATACAACGATTTCTGTACATAACAGACGAAGAGTCGATCAGAAAAAATCGAACGCAAAAACAAAGAAAGAAAAACTTGCTTTAGACTAGCTGCAGAAGTTAGATCATCAAATAGCAGGCGTATTTTATCCGGGTTTTATTTATTTTCCCGGAGTCGTAAACAAGACAATTCTTCTATAGGAATCTCCCCCTCACGTCTTAAAGCTCTAACACTGGAAGGCGTAAGTCTGTGCAGAGCAAACAATACCTCAATACTAAGAGGAACATTCAAACATTGCAGCCCAAGAAAGTTATTCTGTCTCAAGAAATTCAACGATGAACATAACACTACTTCCAGAAGCATACATGCACCGAATACTAATTCCATTGAAAAAGATGGTGCATTCCGCAATGTGATGTTTTAGAGTTCTACTCACATGTACAACTTCAGTAACAATGGCCTTCACGAAGGACCACACCGTTATGAACAGCTACATTAACGATAATTAGCGTTTTATTTAATATAATTTGCGACCGTCACCATCCCGATCCCACGAAGAAAATTTGAAATAAGAAAATTTTCAAAAAGAAAATTTGAAAATTGAAATATAATGCGCAAACAGAAAGATCGAAACAATAATAGATAGACGCTATAAAATTTGCACGCATTTATAGTTTCGTGGTAAGTAGACAGGTTTCCTCAGCACTGCACATGCACTTTAAGAGTGTCGGATACACAATAAAGCTTACCACACATACAGCGTTTAATGTGGGTCAGGAGATAAGCGGGAAGGTACAGACTTGTAAGATAACGAGTTGAGTTGCACATGCCACCACCTAACACTGAGATAGGATGATGGATGCCATGGAACGATTATTTATCGTTCCACCAGGTTATGATGGAACGTGAAGCTACTGATTCCAAGCTGCATCTTCGACCCCTACGTGATCATCATAGAGGCCTCAAACTCGTTGAAGCATGAGACTGCGTTATACCGATGGTCTATCTAAACGCCAAAAAACGCCGTCATAGTCAGTCGGAAAGTGCAAGAATTAAATTAATAACGTAGTCATAATGACCATCCGCCTATTTTCGAGCAAAAAACGCTGTCATAGTCAGTCGGAAAGTGCAAGAATTAAATGAATAACGCAGTCATAATGACCATCCGCCTATTTTCGAGTATAAAAATGCCTAAGTCACTACGCCAACCCGCAACCCTTTCATTGACCAGTTGGTAGCGAAAAAATATGTTGTTCGGACATCACTTTTAAAAATATACACACGAAAATATTACAGGTAAAATCGACTTGTCAACTATAGACACAAGCTAAAGAAAATCCCCGCACTCAAATGCGAACATTACGACAGCGAAAAGTATTACTATCCATGATCAGAGCCTCCAGTGTTAAAAATTTAATATAAAAAACAGAAACATTCTAGGTCAACGTAGCACGTAATATAAAAAATTACTGGAAACATTCCTGGACAATAGCAGGAAGATCGTGCCAGCAGGTCAGCCCTACAGCGTCAGCCATCGAACGACTATTCCGGGATTTGAAAAAATTTCTCAAGGTCATCCGTTGCCATTAAATAAAATTATTTAAATATTTCGTATCATAATAGGATATTGAATGAAGAGAATAACATCACAAAAGAGACATACACTGACTGACTGACTGACTCGTGCACGGCCTTACTATGGCGTTACAATAACAAAATGATAAATAGCGACTTCCTTTCGGAGATTAACTTGCGTTTCCGGAAGCGAATTTAAGGTTGATGAAACAAACGAAACAAAAAAAAAAAACGGACAAAAATGATAACAGAAATGGCAAGTGCGATTGCCAATATTTATGCTCACAATACCTGAATTCCTACTAAAATGCATAGATTTTAGATTAGGTTATAGTCACGCAATCAAGTAATGCACATGCACTTAAAAGAGAACGAAAGGAAAATTTGAAATTTCGAAATGTAATTTATTTAAATAAAGCTTGGATAATTCATTGTTAGAGATATTCGTTGGACATTCACAACGATCTCCCCATAATAATCGTCCTGACCTTGAGTGCAAACTGGCTTTATAAAAACATGGCAAACGAATTAAAATTAAATTAAGCTCCTTCCGGGACCCTATAAACGCAGCTCGGGGAACTGCGGGGAAAAGTGACTGCGCAGTGACTACGGGGAAAAAACTAATAAGATCTTAAGTTGGATGCTAGGTTGCCAAAATTCCTGGAACGTTGTGTATTAACCCTCGTTGGCGGACACGGATGTTAATATCTAAATTCATGGTAACCAGAGTTTACTTCAGTAAAAAAAGGTTAATAGGCAAGTGACGCAATGCACGCAGTCACTGCAGCGCATAAAATGGGCGAGTCGACACACGCAATACCTATAGAAAAACCAGGACGGACATCATAATCAGTAATTCCTTCAACAAACATTTCAGGCATAAAAAACCTGAAAATGTGAATTTCGCTGTAATATTCATCACAAAAATCAACAAACTCGAACCATTCATACAATGCAGTCGCTTAAGCTGTTTACAAAGACTAAACATAGACGCATTTCCGCTTCAATCCAGGACACCGTTATTTAGAGTACGTAGCTTAAAAAGAGACTCTTCAGGTAACGGCGGTCAGCTCGGCGTGAGATGCAATCAGTAAGCCATACATGCGCGGTATATACAGGCACGAGGTCACCACAACGAAGATGAGAGGCTCGATGAACAAGGAAGCTTCGCTGCATAAGAAGCCGCGGCCATGCATATTGCATTGAGACTGGCTCACTATATCGGCCAACTGTCGACCGGATGTACTATCAAGACTCGTTTTAGTACATGTAGTAACCGAATTCTTCCCTGCGATAAGTGGGATTACCTGGAAAAGCCGACAATGATTGACAGTTACGATACGATTTTGATTGCCTGCCTCTGAATCGAATTTGGAAGCGCAACATTCCAGATTCTTTCAATCAGATGCTTTCAGCCGCAGTGAGTTGTCATAATTTATATATCCCATGCACCGAATTTATTATTTTTTACTTCTCACATGAGTAGTAGTAGTATAATGGTTTGCTAGGGTCAAGCTATTTTGCACCGGAGGTCAAAATAAAACGTCGCCAACGAGGCGGAAGGTTTCAATTATTCGAAATTTCAGATTAATCATCGCCCACAAGGTGCAGAAGGTCTCAATTGTCCAGCCCGCTGAAGCTGGTTCGAAAGAAGCAGCGTTAGCATCTCAAAGAGACGAAGTGACAAAGACACTCGAACAAGAGGTCGCTTACACGGGACGTCGGCCGCCCGCACGAGAGAGACAGAGAGGGGAAATGTAAGGAATCCTACCTACATAATAACTTAACGTAAGGAATCCTACCTACATAACAACCTAACGTAAGGAACCCCACAACTGAGATCAGCAGTCAGACACCGCGAGCTCAGCGGTGGGGCGCTCAGGAACAATCCCCCTAGGAGCGCGAAATCCCATAGGACTTCTGACGAGTAAAGACACACGTCAGGAGCCCCCCCTGAGAGGGAAAGGGGGGACTTCTTACCTGATAGAAGTCGAAATTCTGCATCGGTAAAGTATAAAACTTTTAAAGCAATTATCTACTATAAGTGTGTCTTCCGACAGCTTCGCTTATTACAGATAACAGTTGTTAATTTAGCTTTTCTCGGGTCCCGTCTTCATCTAATATGATTAACATAATGTTAATTAATCCCGAGGCTGAAGATAAGTTCTTAACAATACGTTCAACGCGACCTTGGTTGCATTGATTAACGTGTGGTGCAATCTGAATAGAAGCATTAATGAGTTGAGAAAGACGTCAATAAAACAATTTTGAAACAAAGATCGGTAAATCTAAATGAAAGTGTCACCACAAATAGTCCGTTTGAGAGGAACGTTAGAGCGCTCACAAATGAGCATATAACGTTTCACCGACTGCATGAATTCTTCAACACAGGAAGCTATTACGACGTTGAGCAAGAGCTTCTGTTGCGAAGCAGGAAGATCGGAGCGCCCAGGGGCAAGAATTACATCCATCCGTCATCCACAGGTGTGACAGATAACGTCGAGGCCAAAGGAATATGAGAACGATATACCAACACAATAGTTCAACGTCTTCATTATTTACTGTGATGTTAATCTCACGTACGACCAAGTAGAATAATATAATTACCACTACAAAAGCACTTAGTTCTGAAGGTCATTACTTCCTGTTTAGTATTTATTAATAATATTCAGGAGAGCCTCTAGTACCCAGCATCTAGGACGTTGTTTGAATTAAGTAGCTTTTAAGGTAATGTCATTGAGATAGCCATAATACAGGCCTCTAAATAGCACATGTAATAACGCCAGTCAGTAAACAGTGAATACGGAAATTTACATGCGCAAAGTACGAAGCTTGACATTTATCAAACATTTACGTTGACAACAGTTTGCCATTTGTAGGAGACATCGAAACTAAACGTCTGGAGAAATATTTAACGTTGCAAGATATTTATTCAACATTTATGAAGCACATACTTCGCTTTCGTTAGGCTGATTTTGGCGTAATGTTTTCGCTTCATAACGCACTATTTAAGGCTTGGCGAGAGGTGTAAAGTCCATATAATTAATTTTATTTATATTTCCACTGATGGACACTATACGAAAATTCTAATCGCCTTGGTTACAAATTTCGCGAGATCCTCTTCACGTCGACCGAGATGACGGCAATCAATGCAGAGCAAGAGGCACTTAAGAGTGTTTCCAATGGGAGAAGTCGGGTTTTATATAGCTGCTTTAGCAAGCAATGAGGGTCATGGACAACTAGAGAAAGGACAGTTCAAGGCGAGTAAGCATGGAATATTTAGGTGTCAAGCTCAGGAGAAATTATCTAAAAAAAAACAAGCCAGGGCGCACGACGTCCAATGCATTAGCATAGAAAACGCAAGCTTGGTTGGAGATTTATGGGCAAGCAGGAACAAGGTCACGTCAGCTTCAACAATACTAACACTTCTATGGAACACACTATACGCCCTACGCGATGTAGGTCAGCTTGTTCACTGTAGTTCATGTATGTTTTAATTTATATTGAGGGTAGCGCACTTAGCAGCTCGTAACAGCATGTCATCTCGTACACCTCGAGCTCCTTTACATAAATTTTATTGTAACGAAAGTATGAAAGATCCGTATGGAGCTTATCTGTAATTAACAAAGTTAAGTACGAAAAAACTGTACATCGCAGTCACTACCTAGGCCACTAGCTGAGAGTGGAGCATCATTATGCGCCACATTATCTAAATTTTGTTCTATTTGTTGAATAGAGTTCAAAAAAGTCTTAAATCTTTCAGGGGAAATTCATAGATAATTTTTAGAACATTATGAATATTTCTGAACAGGTTTACTATTAAAGTTGCTGTCTTCCTATCATAAAACCAAATCAAACCTTGATGAACATTAATATTTGCTTAACCTAAGAAGGTAATTGAGAATGAATGAGAAAACCTTGAACCTGAACTTAGGTGGTAAAACTTGATTTTAGTAAATAATAAGCAGTAGAACCAAAAATTTTCAAGCACATACCTGAGGTCTCCTGGGCCTTGTTGGCAATGGGAGTCTTGTCATTTGGATCCAACATCCTGTAGTTCCCGGGTTAGATAACTCAGCAGAAGGTGGAATGTTATTGGAGCTTGGGTGGCACTTTGGGGTAAACTTGGATGGCACTTCTGGGTAAAATTGGGTGGCACTTCAGGGTAAAATTGGGTGGCACTTCAGGGTAAAATTGGGTGGCACTTCAGGGTAAAATTGGGTGGCACTTCAGGGTAAACTTTGGTGGCACTTCATTTGAGTTTGTACAATCATCAGGGGAAAATAGTAAATTAACAAAACTTGAAGAAACCTAATTATAACTAACAGCATACATAAATGTTATATTAATAAAACTAAAAATATGAGATCAAAGTTAACAGAGAGCTTCAGATATTACTAAGAGAGCTGGATAATAGAGAACAGCAACAAACAACTGTGTTCCCATATGCTTTAACCTGGAATAAAAAACAATGCAGAGTTTATGCAATGACACTGAAAATTACAATGAGTGTATTTATAGTACGGTAGAACATTTGTGTACTGTCTATTTTCTAAAATCAGCCATAATTTATAAGAATTATACTGCCAATTAACTATTCGTTATTTCATTATGTATACAATAGGTTAGTAAGAAAAATTGACACAAATTCATTGAAGCCTAGAGTTTGGTGGCCTTCAAACACACCGCTGCAGCAGCACATCTCAGGAAAATAACATCACCCACAGCCACACACATGTAAAATACAGGCACCCACAGCCACACACATGTAAAATACAGTCACCCACAGCCACACACATGTAAAATACAGGCACCCACAGCCACACACATACCGGTAATATCCTCCACTAAATGTAAACAAGATAAAGGAAGACTGTCACTTGTGCACTGCAGTAATATGCTGGTATACTTATGAAGCTGACTCTCATGAAGCTTGCAGAATCTCATAGCTTCAGTATGTCATATTTTACCATAAAACTAATCATAAATATAACATACTCAAATTAATCTCAGTTTTTAACCATAAAACAAGCATAGAGTAGTAAATCTTGACAGGTGTTAATTTGGATTTTGGATTATGGTCAAATTTAAACTTTAGAACATAAAAATATAGTGAAAGGTAAACATTTTAAACAAATTTATCAAAATGGTCAAAAATTGTTTATATTGTTATGGAATCCAAAAAATACCTTGCAAAAGCAAGGCTAAACATATAAATCAGCAAGACTGAGAAGACTGACTGGTGGAATGCCACTTTCACTTAAGCTTAGCAATCTCTAAAACTGCATTCTCGCTACGTTTGAAATGTCAAATTGTTAAAATTAAAGTTAGGCAAAAACTATTGGATTATAAATGTAGTTATCAAACAAAAACATGGAAAAATTTATTGAAGCAGCTTTCTTACAAGCATTGAAATTATGCTATCCTAAAAAAATTGTACCTATCCCAAAATTCATATTAGATGTCTGATATCTGCCATATACAATGCATAGAAATAGCAATCTATGGACAGACCCCACTGTGCAGAGAGTGGATGAATATTGCAAGATCTTTGGCAACGCTTCAGTAGCAAAATTTACGCCTTCAGAAGATCTTGCCACCACATTTAGATTGAAATTCTTGCATTTAATATATTTGTCAGTCTTTGGCCAACTATTTAGAAAAAAGTAAGGTTTTTGGTACGTTGGATGGATCAGGATGCAGTAAATCTTGTCCGGAAATCAGTTGCGATGAGTTCCTGCCCAAAAAATTTAAACAAGTTTACGATTGTGTAGTTGTGGTTACATTAGAGCGGTCAGACTGCATTATCACAAGTTCAGTTGACACTTGCTGTACAATTGGACTGTTTTTAGGGTAAAATTAGTTATTTGGGGTAACACGTGCATGCAACCTTGTAAATAAGTTTGTGGCTTGTAAATAGTTATTCATTACTCAGCGTAAATGGCTTTTCATTAAAAATTACCTGGCAATCTTGAAAATGGTTGGCGACGCTTTGGGCTTAAAAACCCATACCGTAAAATGGGGTAACTTAGACCGGCGGGGTAACTTAGACCACTTTTCGTTTTTTTAACAAAAACCCCCACAACTCAAAAACTATTTGACATAGAAAAATTTTGTCAATGGGCATTAAAGGCCTAATACTGAGGCCACATAACACAATAGAAAGATTTGAAAAGTTTGCATATCTAATAGGTTAAAAAATTAAAAATGTGACCCATGAAAAAAAGCTATTATTTAAAGCCTGTCAGAGTACCCCCTCCAATTTTTTTATTTTTTGGTTAAATAACTCCAGGTTTTGATGCATTGTAGTAGAACTCTTCTAGTTACATATGCAAATGACAAATTTTAGGAAAGTGTCATAGTTTGCAAATGGGGGGCGCCGCCCCCAAATGGGGTAACTTAGACCACCTAATGTCAGCCCTGACGGGGTAACATAGACCCTGTCTCTTATACACATCTAGATGTGTATAAGAGACAGGCAATGCAGATTGCGGAAGTTGAAAATTTTATGATATGACATGTTTGCGAAGTGCAAACCGCGATTTTTTAATCAAACAAAAATTTATGACATTCGAGCCGCGCAATTTCATACCTACTGAAATTATATGATATTAGAGCCGCGATATTTCAGACAAAAATAGGACTTTTCCAGACTAGAGTGCAACTGTGCGAGTGGTATTGGTACTATGACTGGTATCCAAGATATTTACTAGGCTAGTCCACAAAAAGTAGGTACCGGTTACCGGTACTCTAAATGAACTTGAACGAGAAGGGCAAAAGAAAGGTTTTTGCCACTATGCTGTAGCTGTAGGTACTACCGTTACCGTACGTACCTACCGGCTAGTGGCTACCCGTAGTAATAATAGTATAGACTATAGAGTATAGTCTATACCATGGTGGCTGGTGCCACAGCTTCTTTTATTCTTGGAAGGGCTAAGAAGAATTAAAAATTTTTATATTTTTGGATTGAATAGAGGGACTGTACAGATTGGATTACACTGGTGAAAAAGCCGGCAACTTATGTCACTGGGTGACTGGGATGTTCGCACTAGCGGCACTACCTGTCACTGGGAACTCGCAATTGATACTGCGGACTACGGAAGTCGAAACAAAGGCGCAACAAACTATTCCACCACTAACCGAGTGGTGAATGAAAAGGTCATCGACATTTCATCCGCAGAAACGTATTTCATAAACACGGTAAAATCTGTCATGATTAATAGAGTTATGAATATACGATGCGGTTTGAAATAAATTGCATAAAAACATGAAGTTTGTGTAGCTCAATATATATCGTTATATTATGAATAAATAAAAATATTTGGAAATGCATTCATTTGACTCTTCGTGAAACTGATTTCTACCGTTATTTTTTCCAGATCTACTGGCACAAACCGAATACGGAATAGTTAGGGTTGGCACAGGCACTCACAGGAGCTGGAGGTTGGATGGAATTGGCGCATTTTGGACATAACTACCTACATCATTCAACTTTTCTTTCTGCGAGTTATAGACTAAATCAATATTTTGTGGATGCTTTCTTGCCGAGGACGTGCCGCAAACATTGCTCAACTTGATGAAAACCAATCCAACAATACAGGTTTTCAAACCAGATTTATGCAAGAGTACTTGATTGATACTGTAAAATTTAGACCGTATGCTTTTTCGTGTAAATATAATAATCGATCAACAATATTAGCTCGTATCATGATAGAGAGTGATTACAGTGATAGATGTAGCAACAGAATAGTTTACTTTATTTCCCATCATAGAGATAAGCGAGAAAGTCAGAAAAGTGTCGATTCGGTGAAAGCCAGTTGCGTTCACGGCGAAAGTACACCGACTCGTTCCAGTTTCTTTTTCTTTTCTTGCCTTTCCATCGTTTTTTTACTCAAACTCGAAGAGCTATAGCTGCAGCGTTGCCAACTGGTATATTTCCATACCAGATTTCACAAATCTTCTATTTCCAGAGCGGGTCTGGCATGAATATTTTAGATATATTCGCCCATATCTGTTATTTTTCTGATATAAATTATATAATTTATTATTCGCCGCTTCACAACATTATATTGCAATTGCGGGTTAATCGAAGCCCATAAGGTGTATATGGTGTCTTGGAACGAGAGATGCTAGGTGCGTGAAATTTGTCGTAAAATTTTGGTACGACTCTTAAAACTCTCAGGAATTCTGCATGAGATGTCAGATGAGACGTTACACTGTTCATATAATAAATTTTGTACGCTATTAAAATTCAATCTTTGCTCTGTCGAAAAGGAATCGCCGCGTAAGTTTCAATGTAAACATAACTCATAACAATGTGCAAAATATCTGTAGCATTGGAAAGACTCACTGCTGGAAATGCTCTTTGGAGAAGTAAAATATAACAGGAGGCAAACATGTGCTAGGCTTTTAACTGCATGTTTGCTAGTGTTGAAGGGCAGCATGTTACATTGTTTGTAAAATGTTTGCAGTGTGATGAAATCTGACCGGTAGTTGTTGCTGATGGCTCGGAGTGGATTGTTTTACACTGCTATGCTTTTGTATAAAAGTATCAAACATCATTCTAGTTTTATACACTTTTTCTGAACGGTAGTTAAATATGCAGTTTCTGTGTGATGCTTATGTTGCCGGTTTTGCACTGAAACAATTCCGTGCGTTAAGGTGCTTAAACACGCGGCGATTAGTTGCGTTTACTACAGTTTTGCAGGCTGAGAGCCTATACACGAGTATAGTGTATAGGCTCCGTCATACACCCTGCGCCCGCGTCAGTGCGACGTTGGGAGTTATCGAGTAAGATTTATTAATTGCACAATCTTAATTAAGTAATTAAAGGTGTGCACGGTGGAAGCATGCGAGAACTCGACAGCAGTGCGCGCTACAGTGGGCGAGACAGAGAGAGCGACACAACTATGCTCGGTATGACGACCGGGCCGCTACTGAGTACTGACTAGTAAATTTCTAATAATTTTGGCCATTGTAGCGGCTAATGTAGCGCGCTACATTTTACTGTAGCGGTAGCGGTAGCGCCCGTTACAATCTAGTGGATGTAACGGTAGCGACAGCGCCCGCTACATTTAGAGCATGTAGTGGTAGCGGTGGCGGCGCTACATTTCAAAGTAGCGCTGCCCAGCTCTGAATATAAGTTATATAACAGGAGGCAAACATGTGCTAGGCTTTTAACTGCAGCATGTTTGCTAGTGTTGAAGGGCAGCATGTTACATTGTTTGTAAAATCTTTGCAGTGTAATGAAATCTGACCGGTAGTTGTTGGTGATGGCTCGGAGTGGATTGTTTTACACTGCTATGCTTTTGTATAAAAGTATCAAACATCATTCTAGTTTTATACACTCAGGGCCAATACTTTCAAAAAAGTTAAGATATCGTAAATTCATCAGCCAATCATTGACTGCCTTTCAAGCAAAATCCGCCACTCATAGACAAGAAAATAGAGC